AAATAGTTTGAAACATTGATTCCTGGGCATTAAGATGCCAACCAAACTATGAAGAGATAGGCAATAAAGCCTTTTTTCTTGACTGGGTCGCAGATTTGCTATTTATTTTCTTTTCTTTTACTCAGGACTCTGTTTTTGTTATAAGATGGTATGAGAGAACGCATTTATGACAAAATGATTTTAGGGACTAACTAGACAATGTGTTTGAAATTTTTATACTTTTTATACTTTATTTAAATTTATTACTCTCTGAAAGTTATTTTGTTAAAATAGCACATAACTACCAGCTTTCCACGGGGAATTATACATTCGTATTGAACTTCTGTAATATGAGTTATCCTCTTGGTGTCTGATAACACACCTTTCTGGTATCTTTTTTTTTTGAGATGAAGTTTCGCTCTTGTTGCCCAGGCTGGAGTGCAACGGTGCGATCTCAGCTCACCACAACTTCCGCCTCCCAGGTTCAAGCAATTCTTCTGCCTCAGGCTCCCAAGTAGCTGGGATTACAGGCATATGCCACCATGCCCTGCTAATTTTGTATTTTTAGTAGAGACAGGGTTTCACCAGGTTGGTCAGGCTAGTCTCGAACTCCTGACCTCAGGTGATCCACTCACCTTGGCCTCCCAAAATGCAGGGATTACAGGCATGAGCCACTGTATCTGGCCTATGGTATCTTAGTGTAGTGGAAAAGTACTGCTGAAGTTGTGTCTTATGAAGATAGTGTGCTCTACACACAGGGCTTCTGAGAAATAAAAGTAGGTATAGGACTTGAAATGTTGGGAAGATTTTTTTTTTCTGCTTGTCCTCCTTGCTCCATATTGTCATTGACTAAATTTTGTTAATTAATTTTTAAAGTTTTGTATAGGATAGGAGTTTTTCCATTCCCACTACAACCATTGTTCTTTAGGTCCTTATCACATGTTGAGATGTTACTGTGGTTGTATATCACCGTTGTGTGACTACAGTATCATCTTGTATTTGCTGTCTCTAAGACCATCCCCAGCTTCAGTGATATTCGCGGACTCATGCCTATGATTTATTACAGTGAAATAATTCAAAGCCAAATCAGCAAGGGAAACAATGCATGGGCAGAGTCTGGAGGAAACCAGGCACAGGCTTCCAAGAGTTTTCTCTCAGTGAGATTAGCTAGGATGTACTTAATCATTTCAGTATCCAATCATTCCAAATTATGGCAACACATCTGAAGTGTCGCATACAAGGAAAGCTTATAGATACTCAGTGCCCAAGGCTTTTCCTGGGGCCTTGTGACATGAGCACCCTTTGTGAAACACATACCAAAATTCCAAACTCCCTGAAGGAAAGCATGTTTTCAGCATAAACCACATTGTCAAAATAGTCTGGGGCACTGTGAGCCACTCTTATCATTTAGGGGAAGTTTTATATTAATGTAGGGCATAGTTCTAGTTTCTAGAACTTTGTTTCTAGTCTAGGCCATTCAAGTTTCTAGATGCCAGCCAAGGACCAAAACTTTAAGCAGACTTTTCACACGACAGAAGTCTTAGGCCTGCTGTGTTTATTCCTTTGTGCATACTGCTGCTCTCTGCAATCTCTAATATATTGCTTTTACTTGACATTTAAGTTTGCTGGGTCAGTGGGAATTCATTATGTAATTTTTGTCTACTTTTGTTTACATTTGAAATTTTCCATAATTAAAAGTTTAGAAATAGGGCAGGCATGGTGGCTCATGCCTATAATCTCAGTACTTTGGGAGGTTGAGACGGGCAGATAACTTGAGGTCAGGAGTTTGAGACCAGCCTGTCCAACATGATGAAACCCTGTCTCTACTGAAAATACAAAAATTAGTCGGGAATCCCAAATACTGGGGAGGCTGAAGCAGGGGAATCGCTTGAACCCAGGAAGGGGAGGTTCCAGCCTTGGCAACACAGTGAGACTGTGTCTCAAAAAAAGAAGTTTAGACATATTTCATTCTGTGTTTATCATATTGTTTCATTTTTCAAAACTTTTATTTCCCTTTTGAATACAGGCTGAATCCAAGCTTCTCAGTCCAAAATTTAAGATTAAAGATCTAATCTTTTTTTCTAGTGTTTTTTCCTGTATTTTTGAGTATGACTCTGCCTCTTTGCTAGCTAGACTAATATAGTCTCCCTGTAATTTACCTTTTACATTCTTGAGGCTCTTCCTCCTAGAATGTTTATTCAAATTTTATCTATCCTTCAAAGCTCAACACAATTTCTTGCTTTGCTATAAAGTTTTCCTAACCGTCTTTATTAGTCCATTCTTATACTGCTGTAAATAAATACTGGAAGAGGGGTAATTTATAAAGAAAAGAGGCTGTACACATTCCACAGGCTGTATAGGTAGCATGGCTGAGGAGGCCTCAGGAAACTTTGAATTATAGCAGACGGTGGCCAGAGCAGGAGGAAGAGAGAGAAGCTGGAGGTGCCACACACTTTTAAACAACCAAATCTCGTGAGGACTAGAACAGCAAGGGTGAAATCTGCCCCCATGATCTAGTCACTTTCCACCAGGCCCCTCCTCCAACACTGAGGATTACAATGCAACATGAGTTGTGGGTAGGGACACAAATCCAAACCATACCACAATCCAAACCCATGATGTTCACTGTTTTATTGTCCTCTGAAGAACTGTTTTTCTTTTATCTATATTTGGAGTTTAATATACGTTACCTTGTGTTGTACCTTTTTTTTTTTTTGATCTGAAGTCTCACTCTGTTGCCCAGGCTGGAGTGCAGTGACACGATCTCAACTCACTGAAACCTCTGCCTCCTGGATTCAAGGAATTTTGCCTCAGCCTCCCGAGTAGCTGGGACCACAGGCACACGCCACCATGCTCAGCTGATTTTTGTTTTGACTAGAGATGGGGTTCACTGTGTTGGCCAGTCTGGTTTCAAACTCCTGACCTCAAGTGATCCACCTGCCTTGGTCTCCTAGTGTTGTAACTTTTTGTTTGTAGATCTTGTCTATTCAGTAAAATTCACTATTTTTTCAGTCAACCAGCTGACCAATCAAAAAACATACTGAGTAATACCTGTTGATATTCTTTTATTTCCTTTTTTTGTTGAATTTTAGGAATAGATTTCTTTGTTACTTCTTATTGGAATTCTAAGTTAAACCTATAATTGGACTTTGTTATTCTATCCTCTGTGACTTTTTTTTTTTTTTGAGAGGTTCTCACTCTGTCTTTCAGGCTGGAGTGCAGCGGTGTGATCTTGGCTCACAGCCTCGACCTCCCCAGCTCAGGGGATCCTTCCACCTCAGCCTCCCGAGTAGCTGGAACCACAGGCGTACACCACCACACCTGGCTAATTTTTATATTTTTTGTAGAGATGAGATCTCTCCATGTAGACCAGGCTGGTCTCAAATTCCTGGGCTGAAGTGATCTCCCTGCCATGGCCTCCCAAAGTGGTGAGATTATTGGCATGAGCCACCATGCCTGGCCTTTCTGTGACTTTTTTTTTTTTTGAGAAGGAGTTTTGCTCTTGTTGCCCAGGCTGGATTGCAGTGGCATGATCTCAGCTCACTGCAACCCCCGCCTCCTGGGTTCAAGCAGTTCTCCTGCCTCAGCCACCCTAGCAGCTGGGATTACAGCGCCCACCACCGTGCCCAGATAATTTTTTGTATTTTTAGTAGAGATGGGGTTTCATTATGTTGGCTAGGCTAGTCTCAAACTCTTGACCTCAGGTGATCCACCCACCTTTGCCTCCCAAAGTGCTGGGATTACAGGCGTGAGCCGCCTCGCCTAGCCCCCCTCTCTGTGACTCTTAATTATAGTTTGATAGTTTATATATTTCTGTGCTGCATTATAGATAATTTCCTCAAATCTGTCTTCTAGTTGACAAATTATCTTTAGCTTTATCATTGGCTCATTAACTTCTTACCTTGAGGTTTTTTTTTTTGAACTTGTATTATGGAAACTTCTAAACAGTAAACACAATAATGAAGCTACCCCACCCCTGCAGTTTCTGACATCCAAGTTCAATTATCAACTTTTTAATGGCAGATTCTCATATCTGCTTCTCCATTCAGTCTGTCACGATAGCACATATCATCTATCCTCTAGAAAACTGACACTGTACTCCAAGAATGTAAGTGAAAAGGCAAATAACGTCTTAGAATTGTTATGAAAATAGTTTGACTTAGTGGATCCTCTAGATTCCATTTTGAAAACTGCTCTCCATAAGGTTGATAAGCACTTTAAGTGACAACCTTATATGGCTTCAGGGATGGGTGTTTAAAAGTCATTCTCCAGTGCCTATATCCAGTTAGAAGCCCCTGTGAAATGCCTTGCAACAGCTTCCTTTTTCATTCTGGCTTTACTTCTGCTCTGTTTCCAGAAACTGGGAATTCCCTTTTCTTTTGAGTTCAGCTATGAAGTTTTTATGGTTATTTTTAGAGTTTATCATATATTTCTGGATGTGTTTGTATAATGGTTAGGAGTGATGGCTGTGACTTTCTGCATCATGTCAGTCTTCATCATTGTCACAAATTCAGGATTATGTGTTTTATTATGTTTTGTCAGTATCTAGCACCATTCTATCAATACAGTAATAAACATTTTGGGAAATTATGCTACTGGGAATAAAGTAGAAATAGTAATGTTGTGTTAAGATGGGTCTCATACCTAATGTAGATGATGGGTTAATGGGTGCAATAAACCTGCACATTCTGCTCATGTACCCCAAAACTTAAAGTATAATAAAAAAAATTGGGTCTCATACTATTTTCCTAGCTGGAGAATAACAAGAATTGCTCATGTGCTTTGGAGTAAACCAGAGGTATCTGAAATAAAGGGAAATCCAAATAGAACCTAGACAGAAGGTGGGATTAAATGTTTAGTTATATGAGTTACATGTAGTGGAGAACAAAGAGCACAGATTATATGTACTAGATTATTATAAATATTATAAAATTTTTTACTTTTCTGGGAAGACTCCCTTGATGTTTCTATTGGGCACTTCATTTCTGATCTTTCATTTACCGATTTTTTTAATCTTACAGGAATATGCCCTTTCTGGTTGGAATTTGAATAACATGCCTGTCCTGGAACAGTCTGTTCTTGCACATATTAATGTGGACATCTCTGGTATGAAAGTGCCATGGCTTTATGTGGGAATGTGTTTCTCTTCTTTTTGCTGGCACATTGAAGATCACTGGAGTTATTCCATCAACTACTTGCACTGGTATGTACAGTCTTCTTCAGTACAGCAAGCATGAACTCTACTAAAGTCTAGTGAATTAATGATGCCAGGTTTTTGATCTTTAAGGTTTATAGACAGAAATATATTCAAGGTTTCGATATTTTCTAGGCTTGGCCTATTTTTTCAGGTAGTAAAATTGAACTCAGTGAAGCTATTTAGAGGTATTCTGGAGAGCATTTACTTACTTCGATCCTTGTTGGGATAATTGAAATGTCCATTATTCACACGGACCTGTGAATCAAGGTCATTTGTCAGCACCCTTTGGGACAGTGCTTGCTTTTCATATAGTGTCTTTCCTGTTTCAAGGTGTTTTCACTGATCCACCTTACAGAGTTCATGTGCTGAGTTGCTTTTCTTTTTTTTTTTTTTTGAGACGGAGTTTCGCTCTTGTTACCCAGGCTGGAATGCAATGGCGTGATCTCGGCTCACCACAACCTCCGCCCCCTGGGTTCAGGCAATTCTCCTGCCTCAGCCTCCTGAGTAGCTGGGATTACAGGCACGTGCCACCGTGCCCAGCTAATTTTTTTGTATTTTTAATAGAGATGGGGTTTCACCATGTTAACCAGGATGGTCTTGATCTCTTGACCTCGTGATCCACCTGCCTCGGCCTCCCAAAGTGCTGGGATTACAGGCTTGAGCCACCACGCCTGGCCCCTGAGTTGCTTTTCTAATTGTAGTGATAAGTTTGTATCTACCTGTACATACAACTATTTACTTACCTCCTATTGTGAATAACAGCACAGGTTTATGAGATGGTTGCTAGAATTCAGGGTGTCTAATCCGACCATGGAATAGGAAAAGTTAATTATAATTGGGTGGATTTGAATCAGATACCCTGTCCTCATTGGTACCATGTTCTGGCTAGCTAAACAGTTATTTCTTTTGCTAGGGGGGAGCCAAAGACATGGTATGGTGTGCCATCTCATGCTGCAGAACAACTGGAGGAGGTGATGAGAGAACTCGCTCCAGAGTTATTTGAATCCCAGCCTGATCTTCTGCATCAATTAGTCACCATCATGAACCCCAATGTGCTAATGGAGCATGGTGTGCCTGTGAGTCTTTTGGTGTCTTCCTTTAGTGTTTTTTTTTTTTTTTTTTTAAGACAGGGTCTTGCTCTGTTGCCCAGGCTGCAGTGCAGTGGTGTGATGATTGCTCATTGCAGCCTTGACCTGCTCAGCTCAAGCAGTTCTCCTGCCTCAGCCTAATTGAGTAGCTGGGACTACAGGAGCACACCACCATGCCCGGCTAATCTGTTGTATTTACAGAGATGAGATCTTACTGTGTCACCCAGGCTGGTCTTGAACTCCTGAGCTCAAGCAGTCCTCCCACCTCACCTTCCCAAAGTGTTGGGATTATAGGCGTGAACCACTGCACCCAGCCAGTATTTTTAATTTAAAGGTACTTTAGCTTTTGATTAGGTAGAATCACAACATATCTTTTGTTTTGTAACTAGAAATGAGTCATATCATCTTCTAGCCAAATTAGAATTTACCCTCTGAAGGGAACAACTTTTATCTAATTAAGGGAAGTACTAAAGTATGAATCATACTTTATGTACAGCTACCTATTCACATAACCTTCTATTTTCAGTAAGTACCTACTTTAAACAAAAATCTCATATTCTTTGTTATCCCTATGTACCAAAGCAGACGTATTTTAAGTAGTGGCTCTAATAACTAATGCTTATCCTGATTTTCTCATATAAAGATTTCTTAGCTTTTAATACATGAGATAATGAAATAAAAATATACTGCAAATACCTTTTTCACTTTTCAACCTAATTTTGAAGATGTTTCTCAAATTCAGGCTAATACCTGATAAAGTTATAAATTTAATAAAGTTTACGGTAGATAATCAAATATTCATTATAACCTTAAAGAGAAAGTAGATTAACATTTATAATGTTACTTTGTTTTTAAAGAAGAAATTTATACCAGAATCAGACTTTTGAAGAGACATATAGTATTATTGTAAAATAAAGTGAGATTCAGGAAAACTGATTTTCGGGACATCTCGTTGGGGATGTCTCATGCTATGTGTGTTAATCAATTTAGTTAGTTTCCCAAAAATTATCCAAAAGTTGTAAGAAATTCTATTCTTTGCCACTATTTATGATACAAGAATAAAATAACTTAATTGTAAAAATTGTATCAATTTAGGAAACTTGTAACTCATTGAGAGTAATGTTTTTTCTTTGAGAATTTCTTTTGGCTGCTAATTCTTGTCATGAATTATAATCTATTATCAGTGATTATTTTAAGTAGGTAGAGTTCTGGCTACTTCTGATATCATTTTCTGATATGTGTAAGTTGATGCTTTATTGTTTTCAGTTTTAGAAAATGCATCTGAAATTGTCTGACTAATAAAATCTGTCTTCCTCTTTCCTTGTTTTTACTTTTTATTATTTATTTTGTATCCCTGTTCCCAATTTGCATTTAGGTGTACAGGACCAATCAGTGTGCTGGAGAGTTTGTCGTGACATTTCCTCGTGCCTATCACTCTGGATTTAACCAGGGCTACAACTTTGCTGAAGCTGTGAACTTCTGTACTGCTGACTGGGTCTGTTCTATAGCAAGTGGCTGTTGTACGTCTACTAACCGCCCTATAAATATAATGCAGCTTAGTCGCCGTATTTGCTTAGCTGGGCTCAGGGTAGGGTTCATCAGTATTTCACTGGAGACTGGTGTGGCTGTTGTAGTTTAGAAAGCTAAGAAGTAGAGTTCCATCATAGCTTTTTTTTTTCCCCCGAGACAGAGTTTTGCTCTTGTTGCCCAGGCTGGAGTGCAGTGGTGCGATTTCAGCTCACTTCAACCTCTGCCTCCCAGGTTCAAGCTGTTCTCCTGCCTCAGCCTCCTGAGAAGCTGGGATTACAGGTGTCTGCCACCACACCTAGCTAATTTTTGTATTTATAATAGAGACAGGATTTCATCATGTTGGCCAGGCTGGTTTTGAACTCCTAACCTCAGGTGATCCACCTGCCTTGGCCTCCCAAAGTGCTGGGATTACAGGCGTGAGCCACCACCCCTGGCCAAGATTTTATAGTTCTTCCTACCCATTTATTATTTTCCTCATTGTTTGATCTTGCTTCCTTCATTTCCATACTTTTCTTTCCTTTCCCCCATTTTCTTCGTTCCTTCCTTTCCTTTTCTCCTTTGCTTTCCTTCTTTTCTTTACTTTGTCTCCCTTCTGGTCAGGTGCTCAGAGGAGAGAGATGATTTGAACTTGTAAATGGTCCGTTGATTCTTTCTGAATCCTTCTTTTCTAAGGGGAGAGACAGGTTGGTGTAAAAGTAATAGCGGTTTTTGCCATTGAAGATACAGGTTGGTGCAAAAGTTCAAAAGCTTTTTTATGCCTTTATGAGGAGTTCCTTCCTTCTTGCTCTGTACCACCTTTGTGAAACCTATGATTTTTTTTTTTTTTTTTGCACCAACCTATAATTTTTCTAGCCTTTGCTTTCTCTGAGTATTTTTGGGACTTATTAAGGTGACCAAGCTTATAGAGATAATTTAAAGTATTAATTTTGCCATATTTTCAGATACGTAGCTCTGTGATTTTTATAATATTCCTTCATTTTTTTTTTTCTGATAGGTGACTTTACTAGTCTTGCCATTTTATGTTTTTTCTGTTCCTATTTTTAATTTTAAAAGAGTATAATATTGAGATCTCTGCACTATATACTTGTATGTAAATGGTAATGCTAGGTGATTGCTATTTTGCTTTTGTATGAAGTAGATAATCAAAAATATTTAGTGGCCTGTTAAGTTGCATGGGAGAAGATTATACAGTGTATTTATGATACGCACCGACTATTGTCTTGTATTGGTGCTGTTTTTGTTGCTTCTGTTAACATTTTGGGGAAATTCTTTAATAATATTGGATCTTATGTTTTCTGCAGGCACTGTAATTTATTAAATTCTATTATTAACCATATAGAGATTGTTTTTGTTTCCTTTGCTAATGAGTAAAATGATACAATGAATAGTCTCCCATCAATAGTCTTACTTGATAAGTAATTTTGAACTTTTTTCTTATTAGGCTTTGGAAACAGCATAATTTAGCAGGAACAAGACTAGGCTTAGAATTTTTGCCTTGAGCTTGAGCTCTGTTTCTAAAAATTCAGCCAACACTTACTGACTGTGATTTACATCTTAATTGGCCAGGTGTAGGGTAGAAAATGGGAGGATTTAGAAGGAGGTGGAGATAGTTTCTGCTGTTCCCATTCTTACTGTTACTGATGTTTGACCTTGGGCAGCTTTTAAAATTTCACTGGGCCTAAATTTTTTAGCTGGATGTAAAGATGCTAATAGATTCATTTAATAACCTCAGGCAAGTTAGAGGATATGTGTGGAAGCCCTTGAGACTCTTTAGAAGAAGAGTATAATATAAATTATAAGTTATAGCAGTTTTATCTCTTGAATAAATTAATGGGACTAAGTTTTATAAGTTACAGTGGGTAATCAGTTCTGTTTTATGTGGCTTCCTCACATGTTACTGTAAGTAAGAATTGTAAATCCCAAAGTGTGATTTTTTTCTTCTGCTTGTTTCTGTATTGAGGCTATGTGAGAAATGTTTAAAGAGTACATATTTAAGATATGAAAGAGTTGTATGTTAATAGACAAAATTATTGTGAATCATAAGTTCAATATGTATTATTTTATATATATGTATACTTTTTCCTTGAGAAAGGTTTTTCTTTGAAGAGTATGGAAACACTGCATAATGCAGATAGCCTTATATTTTCTGTGATTCCTCTGATTCCTTTCTTCCTTTCTCAAACTATAGATGAATCTACAGTTCTTAAAGACCCATTTTCTTATTTTTTGTCTTTTATATTACAAATCCAAACAAAACTCCTTTAGCTATCTAAGTTCTTGTGCCTGAGCATAGGAAAGAAGTTGAAGCTGGAGTCCATATCTAAGTGTAGAGCATTGCTATTGTCATAATTTGGCTTGTAGCTTGATAATTATGGAAATTTTCAAAATTTATTTTAAGGCTTTATTTGTTTATTTACAAAAATGATCATTTTGTCATTTCATTGTTAGGAAAATAAAGTATGTAATTTTATAATTTTACTTCTTTGAATTATCTTTCTGTTAGGCTTGTTATTTAAAATAGTTTCTAGATGCTAAAATCTAAATCATCTTTTGTTTTGATTTTTGCAAAAAAATTAAAAGTCAGCCAGTGTGGATTACTTACTACTTTCTCCCTCTTTCCTTGTCTTTCTTTCTTTTTCTTCTAATAACTTCTGTTCTTTTTGTTCTGTGGAAATTTGAGTGCTGAATACTTCTACTTAACCCTTTTTGGCCTGAACTTATTTAATTATTTATTTTTACAATATTTTTCTTTTCCTTGTAAGGGCAGGCTCATGTTAAACTTCTCTAAAAGAGTTTGCTGCCTCATTTATATACCAAAGAACTCCTTCTTCTTGAGGTACCATAAATAGAAAATTAGCAGTTTAGGCCAGAAATTTAGTATCTCAGATTATGGGAATTTTTTGTAGGTAAATGTTTGAAATTCTGGCTGGGTCATACAGGATTAATATTTACAATTAATCTAATATTGCCTCTTATATTTAAATGGTTTGTTGTTCTGACTTCTTTCTAATAAAAGGGAGGAACTGGAGGGCAAAAAGTGGTTCTGTTGCTGGATTTGTTATAAGTGAGATATTTAATTTGGAAATCTCATTTTCAGTTGCCCATTGGACGTCAGTGTGTAAATCATTACCGACGCCTAAGGCGCCATTGTGTCTTTTCACATGAGGAACTTATTTTCAAGATGGCAGCAGATCCAGAATGCTTAGATGTGGGGCTGGCTGCCATGGTCTGCAAAGAATTGACTCTCATGACTGAAGAAGAAACACGATTAAGAGAGTCTGTTGTACAGATGGTGAGTTTACTGAGCACATTTTCTATGTTTGATACTGCTTATGTGTTATATTAAATAAACCTATAGTTAGAATTTTCGTCTCTGATCCCCTAGGAGTTGAACATAAAAATAACTTATTTGGAGAAGATTTTGTATTTTTATAATCGCCATATTGGTTTCTTCAAATTAAAAACGTTTTAGGAATTTTATCATCTCTAGATTTTTAAAACTGAAGTCCTCTCAGAATTTCTTAGGTACATATTTACCTTTTAAATCTTGTATATACAGTGTTAATTGTTTAAACAAGAAAATTTAAATTGTTTTTTCCTCTGAGCTTTGTGTTGAATAAGTTACGTTTCTGGCAATTACAGACTGTCAGTTTGAATTAATCTTTTCCCTGCCCTTTAAGTAATTTGATGAATAGGAAGGATGGAATAACCAAGAGTTTGGATTTTGAATGCTTAGAATGAACTAAGCATCATTACGTTGAACTGGGAAATATATGAGAAAATGTGTGTCTTCAGCATCATCTTGGCCCGTTCCCTCTAATATTTCCTACATAACTAGCTAGCTTCATTAGGTTTATACCATGCTTCCTCCTATTTTTGTATCATGTCCCTCCTCCCTCTCTGCCTGATATTCTGTTTTTAAAATAGCTTTGTTGAAGCATCATTGACCTGTAATAAACTGCATATGTTTAAAGTATACGATTTGATAAGTTTTGACCATGTATATAATCATGAAAGCATTGGTACAATCAAGATAATGACTATATCACCCCCAAAAGTTTTGTTATGCCTGTATGTCATCCTTCCTTCCTGCTCTGTACCACCTTTGTGAAAGATGGGTTCTGTCTGTTGCCTAGGCTGGAGTGCAGTGGCACAATCATAGCTCACTGTAGCCTCAAACTCCTGGTCTTAAACAATCTTCTCGCCTCATCCTCTGGAGTAGTTGGGCTGCAGGTGCGTGTCACCATGTCTGTCTAAGTTTTTAAATTTTTTATAGAGGTGGAACCTTGCTTTGTTACCTAGGCTGGTCTCAAACTCCTGGCTTCAAGTGATCCTCCTGCCTTGGCCTCCCAAAGTGTAGGGATTACAGGCATGAGCCACCATGCCTAGCCACCCTATGCCACCTTCTTCTCTTGCCCTGAATCCCCAGGAAACCACTATTCTTTCTTTGCTTATTTTTTGGAGAATTTTATTCAGATTGAATGATGCAGCTTATACTTTTATGGTCTAATCTCTTTCAGTCAGCATAATTACTTTGAGACTCATCCATATTGTTGCACATACTAATACTTTTTTTTTTGAGACAGAGTCTTATTCTGTCACCCAGGCTGGAATGCAGTGGCACAATCTCGGCTCATTGCAACCTCTGCCTCCTGGGTTCAAGCGATTCTCCTGCCTCAGCCTCCCAAGTAGCTGGAATTACAGGAATGTGCTACTGTGCCCAGTTAATTTTTGTATTTTTAGTAGAGATGGGGTTTTACCACATTGGCTCGGCTTGTCTTGAACTCCTGACCTGAAGTAATCCACCTGCCTCGGCCTCCTAAAGTGCTGGGATTACAGGCGTGAGCCACTGCACCCAGCCTGCATGTGCTAATACTTTATTCCTTTTTATTGCTCACTAGTTTTCCTTTGAATAGATATACCACAATTTGTTTATCCTTTCACTTGTGGATGGACATTTGGATTGTTTACATTTTTTGGCTGTTAGAATTAAATTTCTCTGGACATTTGTGTACAGCTTTTTGCATGAACATATGCTTTCATTTATCTTGAGTAAATACTAGAAGTGGAATGGTTGGATCATATAATATGTATGTTTAATATTTTCTAAAAAACTATGAAACTATTCCAAAATGGTTGTACCGTTTTACATTTGCACCAGCAGTGTATAAGCGAGTTCTAGTTGCCTTACATCCTCACCCACACTTGGAATAGTCTTTTCAACTTTAGACATTCTAATAAGGTTGTAGTGGTATTTCATTATTTAATATTCCCACTTTGTACTTGTATTCTTTTTTTGTTTGTTTTTGAGATGGTGTGTTACTCTGTTGCTCAGACTGGAGTGCAGTGGCATGATCTTGGCTCATTGCAACCTCCACCTCCAGGTTCAAGTGATTCCCCTGCCTCAGCCTCCCAAGTTGCTGGGATTACAGGCATGTGCCACGTTGCCTGGCTAATTTTGTATTTTTAGTAGAGATGGGGTTTCACCATGTTGGCCAGGATGGTCTCGAGCTCTTGACCTCAAGTGATCCTCCTGCCTTGGCCTCCCAAAGTGTTGGGATTACAGGCATGAGCCACTGTGCCTGGCCTATACTTGTATTCTTAAAAGTTTTATATTGATTATATATTTATTTAAAATGGGATTCCTTTTCTCATTGCTTAGAGTCTTTCTTTTGAATTTTGAAATTTTAAGTACATTGGCGGAGACTCATGAAATATGGTTTTGTGATAAGTCCTCCATATTTCCGATTTAACCTGAATGGGGTATTATTTTCCTTGTCCTTTGATAATTTGAATGCCACATCTCCTGATCCTCTACCATGTTTTTTTGTGATACCTTGATCAAATAACATACCTTCTCCTTGCCCTCTCTTTGTGTTATGGACTTGTCTTTTCTATTTTAAGAAAAGTTTTCATTTTATCTTTTACTGAAAATCTTCAGTGGTTTTCCTGTGGCCAGGACTCGAATGTCCTCTTTCACCCTTCATCATCATTGTCATTCTGTTTCCACCATACTTTTGAAAGTCTCAGAGTTCACCAGTGACACATTTTATTGCTAAATTCATTGGTTTCTTTCCGTGTTTTCCATCCCCATGACCTCCTTATCGCATTGTATGTTGCTGCTTTGGTTTCTTTCCCTAACATTTGCTCTACTGTTTTTTCAGTCTCTTTGATTATAATTGCCCATCATTTCTAGTTCATTCTCCTTATCTCCCCAACAATGTGTGCAGAGTTCAGCTTTTCACTGTTTATTGTTGTTATTTGTTCTATTTATCTAGGAATTCTCATCTATTCTTAGAGTCTTAAGTCTTTCAGCTTTTACCTTGTGGTTTCAGTTCTTCTTAAAGTTTCCTCCTATTATATGTATACACAGGAATTATTGTCTCTTTGAAAGAGGCTGTATCCAGATGCTCATTTGTAATCTGTGTTTCCAATATGTGTATTGCAAACTTCTGTTTAGATTTTTATCATCTCAGTTTCAGCATCTGAAACAGAAAATCTCTTTCCTTTCCACCTTTCACAAACCACTTTTCTTTCCTAATTGCCTCATCTAAGTTAGCACAATGACCATCATGTAAAAACCTAGTGTGATCTTGACTCATCTGTTAACTTTTTTTGTCGGGGGCTGAAGTCTCCCTCTGCTGCCCAGGCTGGAGTGCAGTGGCGTGATCTCAGCTCACTGCAACCTCCACCTCCTGAGTTCAAGCAATTCTCCTGCCTTAGCTTCCTGAGTAGCTGGGGTTACAGGCATGCATCACCTTGCCCAGCTAATTTTTGTATTTTTAGTAGAGACAGGGTTTCACCATGTTGGCCAAGCTAGTCTTTAACTTCTGACCTCAAGTGATCCGCCTGCCTTGGCCTCCCAAAGTGCTGGGATTATAGGTGTGAGCCATCACACCTGTCCTCATTTCCATCATAGTTATCTGTTACTTAGTTTTTTTGTACTATTTATATATTTATTTGAGACAGAGTCTCACTTTGTCACTTAACCTGGAGTGCAGTGACACGATCTCAGCCTCATTTCCTTCATAGTTATCTGTTACCTATTCTTTTTGTTTTACTTATTTGTTTGTTTATTTATTTATTTGAGACAGAGTCTCACTCTGTCGCCCAAGTTTCAATGCAGTGGCGTGATCGTGGCTCACTGCAGTCTCTACCTCTCAGGTTCAAGTGATTCTGCGTCAGCCTCCTGATTAGTTAGGGTTACAAGCGTGTGCCACCACACTTGGCTAATTTTTGTGTTTTTAGTAGAGACAAGGTTTATGTTGACCAGGCTGATCTTGAACTCCTGACCTCAGGTGATCCACCTACCTCAGCTTCCTAGAGTGGTGGGATTACAGGTGTGAGCCACTACACCAGGCCTGTTTCAGTTTTTCTTTGGCACTGTCTCTCATCACTCTCCCTTGCCCCTTTTTTTCCTTACTGCTGCACCATCCTGTTCCATTCCTTAATTTTCTCACCTGGCTTATTTCAAATAGCCTTTTTTGGTTTTTCTTTTTTGGGACTGAGGTTTGCTCTGCTACCTAGGCTGGAGTGTAGTGGCACAGTCTTAGCTCACTGCAACCTCTGCTTCCTGGATTCGAGTGATTCTCCTGCCTCAACCTCCCGAGTAGCTGGGACTACAGGTGTGTGCTACTACTCCCAGCTAATTTTTTTGTATTTTTAGTAGATGCAGGGTTTTACTATGTTGGCCAAGCTGGTCTTGAACTCTTGGCCTTAAGTGATTCATTCACCTTGGACTCCCAAAGTGCTGGGATTATAGGTGTGAGCTACCGCACTTGGCCTCAACCTTTTAATTTGTATTTCTGGCTTTTTTCTTGTCTTCATTCCCTGGTTATTTATGATTTTCTAAAGTATATTCTTAGGAATATAAGCTTTGTAATATTTTAGAAGGTATTATAAGAAAAGATCGTTTTGTGTCTAGAAAAGTTTAGAAAATGTCAGGCTAAGATAAATGGATGTATTTAAAATATTGATGTTAGCTTCATTTAAGACTGGAAAAGTAAAAGAATGATGAATTCTAGTTTGGATACAAAAAATAAGGGGACCTAAAATAATGTGAAATATATACTTTTCCTGTTTTCAGGATTTAAAATTACTTGAAAGGTATAGGAAAATTAATGGTAAAAATTAATAAAAAACATGTAGGCCAAGAAAAAGAAAGATAAATGGGATCTTTACTGCAAAACTTCTGATTCTTTAATATGCTGGTGTTCATTGTTAATATGTAAAGTGGGAGGGATATAAGCCATAGCAGTTTCCAAAAAATAAAAATTTCTCCCTGATTTTTTTTTTTTTTTTTTTTTTGGTAGAGACTGTCTTCCAGGCTGGTCTTGAACTTGTTGGCCCAAGTAATCGTCCCACCTCAGTTTCCCAAAGTGCTGAGATTACAGGTGTGAGCCATTACACCTAGAACAAAGACATTTATTTTTTCCAGAGTATCTTTTAGGATCTGTGATCTTTGGAGTACACTTTGGGAAATTGTGTAAAATTTCTTGAGGCAGCCAGAACTTTCTCAGTGGCCACATTAGCATTTCCCTTCAGAACAGCATTGCTAGTTGTTCTGAAGCTGAGTAAATTCTTGTAAGCTAAGAAATACGTGCAGTGCATTTGATATTATTTTTACGTTAAAATAATTTTTAAAGAAAATACTAAATGCCAATATGAGAAAATGGAAAGATATGAGAATATGGCCAGCAGACATCTAGATTAAACTGATATGAAAAACAATGTATGATGAAAGACCAGAATTGTGTCTGCCAGTGAATAAATTATGAGGTTCCTACCTTGTTTAAATGAAGAGAGTTTGCTCTTATTACAGAATTGGGTGTACAAGTAACTTGCTCAATCAAGTAAGCAGAAACTAAAGTTATATAATAAATGGAGGTGATGGGTAAAATGTACTTTATATGTGCTTACATTCTTTTTTTTGTTTTGAGGCAGAGTTTTGGTCTGTCACTCAGGCTGGAATGCAGTGGCATGATCTCAGCTCACTGCAACCTTTGCCTCCCGGGCTCAAGCCATTCTCCTGCCTCAGCCTCCTGAGTAACTGGGACTATAGGTGTGCAGCACCACACCTGGCTAATTTTTGTATTTGTAGTAGAGACAGGGTTTTGCCATGTTGGCCAGGCTGATCTTGAACTCCAAGTGTTAGGATTACAGGCGTGAGCCACCACGCTTGGCCTGCTCTTACATTCTTAAACTGTCATACTGAATTTGTCTTAACTTTCTTTTTGATGTCATGCTGATGTTATATTTTGATTTGTACAAGTTACTTTATAGTTCTTTGTCCTTACATATGTTTGTATATGTCAATGTACACTTTTGGATCATAGATTACTAATTTATTTTGCTCAAGGATGTAATTGAGAGGAACGTTTGGAGTACAGCCAGCCACTCCAAAAATGCCTCCCAATTACAATTTTCTTCCCTCCTCTCAAAAAACCGTCCTGACTTTTGTGGTAATCATGTTTCTTTTTTTTAGAGACAAGGTCTTGCTGTGTCACCTGGGCTTGGAGTATAGCGATACTATCATAGCTCACTGCAGCCTGGCCTCAAGTCTTCCCTCCTTAGCCTCCTGAGTAACTGGGACTACAGGCATGAACCATCGTGCCTGGCTGATGTTTAAAACTCTTTTTGTAGGGATGGAGTCTCACTTTGTTTCCCTGGCTGGTCTCAAATCCCTGGCTTCAAGCAATCCTTCCACCTCGGCCTCCTAAAATGCTGGGATTATAGCCATGAGCCGCTGCACCCAGCCCACATTTCTTTATCATTTTTGTCACTCAAATGTGCATCCTTAGATACCAAACTTTAATCTTGCCCATTGAATACAATTTAGTAATGATTTCTTTTAGGAAGTGTTTTGATTTTGTGCCATTGTACCTTTCATGTTTATACCTTAAGTCAGAGATTTGTCTGTAGAAAAAAATGTAGTAACTTAAGTTTTTTGATGCTTTGAAGACTAGAAAGACTTGATCTAGTGAAATAAATTCTATTTCAGGGTGTCCTGATGTCAGAAGAAGAAGTGTTTGAACTTGTTCCTGATGATGAGCGACAGTGTTCAGCATGCAGAACCACGTGTTTTCTCTCCGCTCTCACATGTTCCTGTAATCCTGAGCGGCTTGTATGTCTCTACCATCCAACTGATCTGTGCCCCTGCCCCATGCAGAAGAAATGTCTTAGGTATCCAAAAGTATCTTGTAAAACTTTTTTTTTTAAAACCAAGTCTTAATGTTGTTTTTATTTATTCTCTTCCTTTTCTCTGGACTTCTCAACTTCTCTGTCTACTTCTAGGCTTGAAGACCGGTCCTTTAAAGTTGGCCCTAAACTTGGCAACTGAAGTTAGTTTATCAGTTGATTCACATGTTCCTTGTCTCCCTGCATTAAAAGCTGTGGGTTGCTTTGATTTTCTCTTTATGTGAACTAAGAGCCCATTCCCTTGGCCATTGTATTTTCCTTAAGCTGATTATACTTAAAACTTTATTTTCAAGTTATTGTTGGTTTTTGAGGTTTTTATTTCTGTGTGTTTGTGTTTTTTGTTTTTTTGTAGATATCGCTACCCATTAGAAGACCTCCCTTCTCTGCTTTATGGTGTAAAAGTCAGGGCACAGTCCTATGACACTTGGGTCAGTCGTGTTACAGAAGCATTGTCTGCTAACTTCAACCACAAAAAAGGTTAAATTTCCTTCTTTTGTATGCATATATTGAAATGATTGTCACTTTAAACGAGGTCTTGTTTAGTTTTATGTTTTTTCCCTTCATGAAAGAAAAATCCTAGGCTTACTTTGAGATTTGAGACTAATGGGTTTGTTGAATATAGACTTAATTTTCTATTTGCGGATATTCTTTTAAATAAAAAAGCTGGCATAAAATGGGACAGACATCTAACTTGCAGTCAATTTATCATATATGTTGGGAACCCACTATTATCAGTGAGACAAACAATGAAGACTTCTTTGGAAAGAGAAATTTATTTTCTTTTTTAGACAGTTTCTGAGAGTAACTGTTTATAGGGATTGTAAATGGGCACCTGGTCATTAGCTTTCATTGTGTTGGTGAGATTTTCACAGCAGTTTGTTTTTACTAATTATCATGTTTCTAGTAGGTTGGTGACTCATTTGAGCGAGATTGCTAAAGATTTTAGAATGGCTTTTTGTGTTCATGGTCATAGTATGTGGCTTTTTATTTATTTTTACAGATTTGATTGAATTGCGAGTAATGCTGGAAGATGCTGAGGATAGGAAATACCCAGAGAATGATCTCTTTCGAAAACTCAGGGATGCTGTGAAAGAAGCTGAGACCTGTGCTTCTGTGGCTCAGCTGCTTCTGAGCAAAAAGCAGAAACACAGGTAAACCTAAGAAGAGTTTAATTATGCAGTGTTTTCTTGTTTCTTTCAGAGTAAAAGCCAAAATTTTATTTGGCCTGGGAAGCCTAATTATCTTTGACCTGTTGTGGCCATGTCTCTTGATTCCCCGGTAATGCTCCAGTTTTATCTCCTGCTATTCTCCCTTCTTTCTTGCTCCAGCCTGCAGTGTTCTTTCTCTTGCTTGTCTTCATACATAGCAGGCACATTTTTGCTTAGGACTTCACCCTCTGTCTTTACTCTGCTTGTTATCTTCCCATCATATCCAGGTGGCTTGTTTGTTCCCTTACCTCTTTGAAGCCTTTGTTTTCAAATGTCACTTTGTTGGAGAGGGCTTTTCTGACAAGCCTTTATAAAATTTCAATCCTCTTACCCTTCTTTCATGCTTTTTCTCCTAGCTTTATCACCTTCTGATATACTAATCTACTTATTTTATTTATTATCTGTCTTCTCTTTTCTTCCTTATCCCCCACTAGAATATACACAATATTAGAATATCAGGGAATTTTTTTTTCATTGCCATATTTCTTGTCCTTAGAACAATGCCTGACACATAGTCGTGCAATAAATATTTGTGAATAACTAAATAAATTGAAACTATAGGCTGAAGGCAGGTGGCAGCAAAGGGTAACCTTGATGGATGCTGCGGAGGTTGTTAAGGAGCATAGAAGTATGCACCTTTGATAGAATGTAATTCATAAGTATTAAATTTTCTGTTTAAATTTGTTGTAGTGATTCCAACACATTTTTTTTTTGTCTGAATGGCTTGTCTATAGCAGTTTACATTGGGTTTTTAAATTACTTTGTAGATTTTTAATCTACCATTTTGTTAGAGAACTTTTCTTAGAGACATTGATCAGCGGCCCTTAACTTGTCACTGGGTCAGTGTTCCCACTTGGAAAACCTAGTAAAATTTTAAGATCCCTATTAGAAAAATCATATACACACAAAATTTTGAAACACTTTCAGAGGGTTCATTGTTACCCAAGGCAGGTTACAGGCTCTTGTTTCACATTTTGACCTTCTTGAGATACAGGATTCAGTTTTATCAGTGAACTTAATATTCCAACTATGAGGAATTTATGTCATGTTTGAAATGTTTAATCCTTGTAGATCGAAGAAACTGTAACTTAGAGAGTTGAATCTTTGGGTCATTAACTGAAGAACTTAAAAACTGTTTCGAAGTTGTCACCATTGTGGTATAATCCCTCAAGTACTAGGATTCTAGGAGTGCTTAGGTTTGAATTCTGAAGAGACTAGGAGCCCTTTTGATATCAGAATGACTAAATTTTTCTTACTTATATCTCAATATTATTTCACATCAGACAGAGCCCAGATAGTGGGAGGACTCGGACCAAACTGACAGTGGAAGAATTGAAGGCCTTTGTCCAACAACTTTTTAGTCTTCCGTGTGTCATCAGCCAAGCTCGGCAAGTGAAGGTGGAGTATTACGTGCTTTTTTTGGGTAATGTCCTTTGTGACATGGGCTACTGTTCTGGGTTTCACAGAATGGTATGTCTAAACTAGTTTTTTGCTTTGGTTTTGTTTCTCACGTGTATGCTGCTATTTGAGGCTTTTCAGTAGGCAGTTTTTTGGTTTTGTTCTTAGCCATATTCCCCATTTAAAATTCTGGAAGTAAGGCTGGTATAAAATTACTTTTTTCTATATTAATTTTAGTTTAGAACCCCCATTTAACATGGATGTAATTGAAATGCAAAAAATTAGTTAAAATAATCTGCATGTATCAGTGTTGTTAATATGCAGAGCTCTGAAATTATGAGCACCCTGATGGATTAATGAATATATAAAATCTTAAAAGTATGTATCAAATATATTAATCTGCATAGTTAGTGATTTTTGATAGTTTGGGTTTTTTTGTGTTTTGGGGGTGGGTAGGAAGTCTAAAATAGTTTTCTTTTTTTTGGAGATGGCAGTCTTACTTTGTCTCCCAGGCTGGAGTGCAATGGCACAATCTCGGCTCATTGCAACCTCTGCCTCCTGGGTTCAAGTGATTCTCCTGCCTCAGCCTCCTAATTAGCTGGAATTACAGGAATGTGCCACTATGCACAACTAATTTTTGTATTTTTAGTAGAGACAGGGTTTTGCCATGTTGGCCAGGCTGGTCTTAAACTCCTGACCTGAAATGATCTGCCTACCTCGGCCTCCCAAAGTGCTGGGATTACAGACAGGAACCATCCTACAATAGTTTTTATTTTTTTTTATACAGAGTTTTGCTCTGTCTTCTAAATGTTGGAGTATATTAGGAGTCTCGGCCCTTTCTTCAGGTGCACCCACTTCTGATACCTTATTTGCTTAGTGACATTAAATATCACCTATATCCTGTTGATTCCCACATCTCTAGCACCTTTTTTCATACAGACTTGTATGTCCAGCTACATACTCTGCATTTCCATTGGGTAGACTAAAAGGCATCTTAAAGGCCTTTGTTTTTTTTGAGACAGGATCTGGCTCTGTCACCCAGCCTACAATAGTTTTTATTTTTTTTTAGACAGAGTTTTGCTCTTGTTGCCCAGACTAGAGTGCAGTGGCGCGATCTTGGCTTACTGCAATCGCTGCCTCCTGGATTCAAGCGATTCTCCTGCCTCGGCCTCCTGAGTAGCTGGGATTACAGGCAAGCGCCACCACACCTGGCTAATTTTGTATTTTTAGTAGAGATGGGGTTTCTCCATCTTGGTCAGGCTGGTCTCAAACTCCTGACCTCAGGTGATCTGCCCGCCCCGGCCTCCCAAAGTACTGGGATTACAGGCGTGAGCCACATGCCCAGCCACCTAAAATAGTTTTTATCAAGGTTATCAACTTGTAAAATCTAGTGTCAGTTGTGTTCTTGTCTTATTCCATTTCATTAGAGTATTTTGATAGTTGACTACTCTTTCTGTTCTTGAAGCCTCTCTGTGACACCACACTTTCTGGGTTTTTTCTTAGCTCATTGACAGTTCTTCATCTTTGCTGCTTGTTTTCTCTTCGGCTTGACTTCTAAGTGTTGGAGTATATTAGGAGTCTCGGCCCTTTCTTCAGGTGCACCCACTTCTGATACCTTATTTGCTTAGTGACATTAAATATCACCTATATCCTGTTGATTCCCACATCTCTAGCACCTTTTTTCCTACAGACTTGTATGTCCAGCTACATACTCTGCATTTTCATTGGGTAGACTAAAAGGCATCTTAAAGGCCTTTCTTTTTTTTGAGACAGGATCTGGCTCTGTCACCCAGGCTGGAGTATAGTAGTATGGTCTTGGCTCACTGTAATGTCCACTTCCCAGGCTCAAGCAATCCTCCCACCTCAGCCTCCCAAGTTGCTAGGACTACAGGTGCACACTACCACACGTGGCTCATTTTATATGTTTTGTAGAGATGAGGTTTCGCCATGTTACCCAGGCTGGTCTCAAACCTGAGCTCAAGCAGTCCTCTTGCTTTGGCCTTCCAAAGTGCTGGGATTACAGACATGGGCCACCACACCTGGCCTTAAAAGCCTTTTAATGAATCAAGTGAATCAAACTCCTTGATTTCTTTATTTCCCTTCTACCCCTTGTTCAATATTTAAACAAGTGCTGGCTGCTATTACCTCCAAAATATATCCCAAAGCAAACCATTTATTCTCCTCTCCTTTGCTTAAACTATGCTCTGCACCACTGGAATGTTCCCCTTGGATTACTCCAGCAGTCTTTCAGTTGCTTTCTCTTCTTGTCTGACATTTTTTTTTTGTTTGGTAGCCAGAATGATAATCTAAACTTTAAATCAAATCACATCACTTCCATATGGTTAAAAATTTTCCAGTGGTTCCCTAAAGTCATTTGAATGAAATTCAAACTCATTGTAACCTAGAAGGTACTATGTAATCTGACCTTTGCTTATTTTTTACCACATTTCTCCATCATCATGTACTTGTAGCAACACACCAAGCTCATTCTTCTTTAAAAGCTTTTGCAGTTATTATTTGCCCTCCCCGAACTGTTCTTCCTTCAGATCCTCTTGTAGTTCCTTCCTCCCCACCCTCAATTTAGTTTCAGTTTGTCTTCTGTGACCACCATGACATTGCAAAGTAATGTGTCGCTTCCCACTCTGGTCATTCTCTGTTGTGTTGCCATATTTTATTTTAAGAGCACTTGACACTAACTGAAACGTTTTATTCATATGTTAACTGGTCACCTGCATTAGAATGTATGTTTTGTGAGGGCAAGGACTTTTTACGGCTTATTCAATACTGTGTGCCTAGAACAGTGCCTGCATCTAAGTCAGCAGTCATTAAATATTTATTGAATGAATCAACTATATTTTAAAAGTAGAAGTATAGCTAGAAGTTATTATACAAAAGCATATTTATTAATTTAGCTATCATATCTGACTATTTGATGTTATGATGGTGAGAGTATAAGAGTCTAGAATTGATAATTTGCCTTGACTATGACTATTTCATATTCTTTTGTATCTTTTAAATTTGTTTTTCTAATTTTTATCCTTTTGACCTTTTTAGAATCTGCTAGATGATGTGGAAGAGTTTCATGAACGTGCTCAGGAGGCCATGATGGATGAAACCCCAGATTCTTCCAAACTCCAGATGTTAATAGATATGGGCTCTAGTCTCTATGTGGAACTCCCTGAATTACCACGACTGAAGCAAGAGCTACAACAGGCTCGGTGGTTGGACGAAGTAAGACTGACCCTATCAGATCCACAACAAGTCACTTTGGATGTCATGAAGAAACTAATAGACTCTGGGGTAGGGTTGGCACCCCACCATGCTGTGGAGAAAGCAATGGCTGAACTACAGGAGCTCCTTACAGTGTCTGAACGATGGGAAGAAAAGGCTAAGGTCTGCCTACAGGCAAGGTGAACACATAGTTTTGTGACTGTTGCCTCTTTAACAACCAAGTCAGAAGGTAGAATGGGAAGAAGGAACTTAAGGGCTACTTATTTCCTTAAATGGCTTGTTTGTTTTTTTTTCCTTTAGGATTTTAATGTGTAAGTAGCATTAGTCAAGTTGTGTGGTGGGAAAAGCATTTCCTGATGACCCAGGGCTTGAAGGGAGGGGGAGATTCCCCTTTCTCCCTGCTTTGGCAGGCAGCTCCTGGAGAGGCGCGGTTGGGTGGTAATGAGTACAGACAGGCTGGAGAGTTTCTTGCTGGGCAGCAATGTCTACAGGCCACACCGTCTTACAGCCCTCAGAGCACCTCATCATGTCTGGACCCACGAATGGGGTGACAGTACCAGGGAGTGGGTTCTCCTGTGTCTGGCTCCAGCAACTGATTTATTGTGATGACATTAAATATTTAATTAAATGTTTTGTGCCTTCCCTGGCCAATCACTAAGTTATCAAATGGGACTGCATGTAGATTGTTTCAAATATGTGCAAACTATTGTGCAGAGTACTTCGTTAGATACCTTATGTTATAGGTAGTATTTTGTTTAGGGCCTCTGATTAGTGATGTTATAGTTAGGAACTAAGAATTATAAAGCTCATTATAGTACGTTATTAATGTTAACTGAAAGTTAGGGAAAAATGTTACAGGGATTCGGAGGGGGAAGATCAGGGTGAGCTTGGGTGGTCAGTAGAGAAGCTTGAGAGAAAAATAAGAACTTAGGTAGAGCCTTGAGGAATCAGTAGTTTTGAAGAGGAAGGGAGATAAGAGAAATGTCAGAAACTGAGTATAAGGAATATGTAGGGTGTGTTCAGGTGACAGAAAATAAGTGGATTTCCTTGGAGTGGAGGAATTATGCTGGAAAGTGTTGGGAGATGAGAATCAGGCAGGAGGAGAATGTTGAGACTGTATTAGTATCAGCACCCCATTGGACTTAATGAGATTTAAGTAAAGTGTTTATATTTCACTGTATATTAGCAAATTTGGCTGACAATTAGTAGTGGCGTTCTTTGTGAAAGCATTTAGCAGCTAAGATTAATATTTATATAATTTCTGTTGTGAGAATGCAGAAACTGGGGTGCTTAGAGAGCTTACATAGTTACTGAGTGACACAACTGAGATTTAAAGCATCTTCCACTTCATTTCAGTATCTCTGTGTCCTTAACTACCTCGCCAGCCACTTACTTTGGATAAGAAAATCTTTAGGTGACTTAATTAGCACAGCTCTGAGAAGCCTCCATATATACTGGATATTTTGCTATCCAGATGCCAAGCAGAATACATACTAAAATTTATTCAGAGCTTTTCCAATCTCAACTCTTCATATACTCTGTGTCTTCAGATTAATGACAGTTCCAGGAGGTGGGAACATATTAAATGGACAAAGCTAAATAACTTTGGAATGTAAAACTATGATTTTGATATACCTGATGCAACTGGTAGTAGTCTACCAAATGAAATCTTGTTAATAATAATAGTTAAAAACGTTCTTTTCCTGGTCGCCTATATTTAACCAGCCACCAGGTTCTGATGATTTGCCTCCAAAATGTCTTTCATATCTGTCTTTCAAATTCATTGTCACTGACCTAGTTGTAGTCCTCTTATATTTTGCCTTGATATTTGAGTTTGGTAAGTATTGATGGAGCACCTACTACATGCCAGCTACTATTTCTAAATGCTATGGAGACAGTAGTGAACAAGATACACAAAGGTCTCTGCTCTCAAGGGGCTACCATTCTAGGAGAGAGAAAGGGAGAGAGAGAGAGATGAATTTCAAATAATTAATGTCATGAAAAAAGTAAAATTGGTAAAGAAATAGAGGATAATTTGATTGGTGGAAATAGTGGGAGTTAGACTCTTTTCTAACTTCTGTCAGAATTATCTTTTGAAACACAATCTTAATTTTCTTGATCTCTTAGTATTGGTTATTAACTGCTTACCATTATTTTTCTTTGCCTTTGGCCTTCTCTTTACCTCTAAAATAATGGCTTTCCTCTAGATTCTGGCATAAATGCCTTTCTTTCCTCACTCTGTACAGTCTCTCTGGAAGTGTCATCTAATTTATTGGCTCCATTTGCCTTTTTATACTGAATAACTCCTAGATCTTCGTTTAAAATATAGATTGCTTTCATAACTGTTATCTGCCTGTTAGATAATTCAAGGGGATGTCCCACAGTTACCTGAAATTCTCTGTATCCAAAATTGGACTTATTAATGTCTTCCCATATCCTCCTCTTTTGTTTCTTTGTTCTTTAAATTATACCATCTTTCACTCATTTGAACAAGCAGGTACTTTGGTAGTTAGCCTTGACTCCTCCTTTCTTTGTCTTTATCCTCAAACTTAGTCATGCTGATTATATTTCCCCAGTGCTGCTCATTTTCATTTTTTTAAAAAATTTGTACTGGGATATATGTTATACTCATTCTTTTTTTTTTGTTTTTGTTTTTTAATTTAAGACAGATACTTGCTCTGTTGCCCAGGTTGGGGTGTGCAGTGGCACTATCTTGGCTCATGGCAACCTCCACTGCCCTAGGCTCAAGCAGTTCTCATGCCTCAGCTTCCCAAGAAGCTGGGATTACAGGCGTGTGCCACCATGCCCAGCTAACTTTTTTTATTTTTGGTAGAGACGGGGTTTTATTTTGGCCAGGCTGGTCTTCAGCTCCTGACCTCAAGCAATCTGCCTGCCTCTGCCTCCCAAAGTGCTGGGATTACAGGCCTGAGCCACTGTGCCTAACCTTTTACCGTCATTCATTCTTTTTTTTTTCTTGAGACAGAGTCTCACACTGTTGCCTGGGCTGGAGTGCAGTGGCATGATCTTGGCTCACTGCAACCTCCACCTGCCAGGTTCAAGCCATTTTCCTGCCTCAGCCTCCCAAGTAGCTAGGATTATAGGCACTCGCCACCATGTCTAGTTAATTTTTTGTATTTTTAATAGAGACAAGGTTTCACCATGTTGGCCAGGCTGGTCGCGAACTCCTGACCTCATAATCGGCCTCCCGAAGTCCTGGGATTACAGCATGAGCCACCACACCTGGCCTTACCCTCATTCCTGAAGGACCTTTTTGCATTAGGTGTAAAATTACTGGTTGACGATTATTTTATCTTAGTACTGTGGACATACCATGCTCTCTGCTGTTTTGAAAAGAATCTTTTAACTTGGACTGCTTGTAGGATTGTTTCTTCTTTTTCTCTTATTCCACATAGGCTGCATCGTAGCTAGCCTAGATCACAGCAGCAGATGCTGTCTGGTCTTACCCCTCTGTAATTCATTCTCTATACTACCACTAGTATTTTGTTAAAATACAGCTGTAACTTACACTCCCTTACTTAAAGCCTTCTCTCATTTTCTGTTGCCCTCAGGATGAAGTCCAAATTCCCTAACCTGATTCGTAAGGCTTTCTGTCATCTAGCCTCTTGCTTAATTATGTATCTAATCTTATCTCTTGTCATTCTTCCTTTTGTATTCTATGTTTAAAATGTGATCTTTCCTCCCAGTTCCTCAAACATCTGTGTTCTTTCTCTGCATCTTTGTGCATGTTTATTATATTCTCTTGTGGAGCACTCTTACTTCAGCCCATCCCCTGTGTGCCTCCACCAACCCTACCCTGCCCCTGGCCTCAGCTTTACTCAGAAAGGATGAGAAAGCTTAGTGTCACATTTGGGAAGTCTTCTTTCCCTCCAAGTAAATTAGGTTCTCCTACTATATATATGTATTTTTTCTTTTTGAGATGGAGTTTTGCTGTCACTAGGCTGGAGTGCAGCCTCTACCTCCTGGGTTCAAGTGATCCTTCTGCCTTAGCCTCCCGAGTAGCTGGGACTACAGGCGTGTGCCACCACACCCGGCAAATTTTTGTAGTTGTAGTAAAGACGGGGTTTCACCATGTTGGCCAGGTTGGTCTCGATCTCTTGACCTTGTGATCCACCCACCTTGGCCTCGAAAAGTGCTGGGATTACAGGCGTGAGCCACCGCGCCCGGCCTCTCCTACTATATATTCTAATAGTGCCTTTACTTTCCTTTGTCATTACACTAATCACAGTGCATCATAAACTTTTTATTAATAATCTTCATAAGATTAAAAAAGTTTCCTGAGGCTGGTCACAGTGGCTCACGCCTGTAATCGCAGCATTTTGGGAGGTTGAGGAGGGTGGATTGCTTGAGCCCAGGAGCTCGAGACCAGCCTGGCCAACATGGCAAAACCACATCTCTACTAAAAATACAAAAAATTAGCTGGGCAAGGTGGTGCATGCCTGTAGTCCCAGCTACTAGGGAGGCTGAAACATGAGAGTTGTTTGAATCCAGGAGGCAGAAGTTGTGGTGAGCTGAGATTGTGCTACTGCACTTCAGCCTGGGTGACAGCAAGACTCAGAAAACAAGTAAGTGAAAGGTTTCTTGGGACAAGGACTATCACTGTTGCTCATGAGCAATTTCCAGGACCTAGAACAGTGCCTAACACATAGTAGGATTTGTGGATGATGAATGCTTCCCACTTCAGTAGCTTCTCATTGCTTTGGATAATGAAGTCCATGGCTCTCGGGACTCTGCATCTTTCTTCCTGCTGAATTCCTTTTTCCTGCCCCACTCTTTGCCCACCCATCCCCTGCCTCCAATCCTCCACATCACCCTCTAATTGCAAACTGAACTAGGAACTGCTTTTTAAGGTGTCTCTATGCCTTTGTTGATTATATTCCTGGTTTCTTTAACTTATTTAACTTTTCATTTGACAGAATCATACTAATTTAAGGCCTACTTCAAAGCCTTTCTCAACTCTCCTGGGCAGAATTAATCACTGCCTCCCATAACAGTGAGTTTATAGTTATTTGGTGTTAGTTCCCAGTAGAAGTATAATTCTTATCTTTTATTGTGATTCATTGAGAATAAGGTCTATGCATCGTTCATCTTTGTGTAACTAGTGTTAATGAATGTAGTTTAAGTAAATGTATGTTGTCAGCATTAATGGATTTCTAGTGTATTGTTTTCTACATTGCTATCAAATGTGCATCTCTGACAGTTTCGGATACTGTAGAGAAGTGGAGGCAGTCTAGTGTAGTGAAAGGAGCATGGATCTGACCCTCATTCTGAATCAGTATTTCAGATGTGTCCTTTATTACACTAACTGGCAGGGGAAAATAACTTACCTTCTTTGATTTAAAGTTTTATCTGTAAAACATTTATATTTTATTTTATTATAAACTTACGTTTATACATTTTCATATCTATAATGTTTTCTTATCTATAAGATGGAAAAGAAAGATACTAGCTGCTTTGCCTCTCTTGTCGGATTGTGGTAAGAATTCAGGGAAATCATGTATATGAAATTCTCTACACATTCTGAAATGTTATTTAAATGTTGATTTCTCATGCATCCCACTCTGTTTTTATTGTTCTTTTAGACCACGGCACAGTGTGGCAAGTTTAGAAAGCATTGTGAATGAAGCAAAGAACATTCCAGCCTTTCTACCCAATGTGTTGTCCTTGAAAGAAGCCTTACAAAAGGCTCGAGAATGGACATCTAAAGTGGAAGCTATTCAGGTAAGGAGGCTCTTGGATTATCTCACCTATCAGCTAATGCCTGTTTCATAGATTACTAAACTTTTAATTCTTTAGGATAGAATAATCATAATGCAAATGTTCCCTAATGTAGATTGACTTGTGATTTTTTTTTTTTTTTTACTTTATGATGGTGTGAAAGTGATACACATTTAGTAGAAACCGTGTTTTCAATTTTGAATTTTGATCTTTTGCCAGGCTAGCAATATGTGGTATGACACTCTCTCACAATGCTGGGCAGCAGCATTGAGCCACAGCTCCCAGTCAGCCATGCTGATGTAAGTGTTCTGAGCACCTTTAAGGTGGGCTAGGCTAAGGCTAGGCTAAGCTGTGTTTGGTATGTTAGTTTTATTAAATGCATTTTCAACTTACGATATTTTCAACTTACGATGGGGACATAACTCCACTGTAAGTTGAGGAGCACATATAATTCTAGTAAAGTTTACTTACTCTTCTATGTGATTTTAGAAATCAGAATAATTATTACCTTCTTAAATATTACTTTTTTTTTTTTTTGGTTGTTTTGTGTTTTTTTTGAGATGAAGTCTCGCACTGTTGCCAGGCTGGAGTGCAGTGTACAATCTTGGCTCACTGCAGCCTCCCACTCCCTGGTTCCCGTGATTCATCTGCCTCAGCCCTCAAGTAGCTGGGATTACAGGCACATGCCAGCACGCCCAGCTAATTTTTGTATTTTGAGTAGAGACGGGTTTCACCATATTGGCCAGGATGGTCTCGATTTCCTGACCTTGTGATCCACCCATATCGGCCTCCCAGAGTGTTGGGATTACAGGCGTGAGCCACTGTGCCTGGCCAATATTACTTGTTTTTATTGACTCCTTGCTCTGAAAAATGATGGAATTAGTTATTTAACTCTTTAGCAGTAGGGAATTTGTTACCTACTGTATTCTTCAAATTTTTTTTCCATGTGAATGAATTACTTTTAAAATAAGAGGCAGAAAAAGAAAATGAAATTAACATTTACTGAGCACCACAGTACTCTTGGTACTGTTCTGTGTGTTTGGGAGCAGGCATGTAAGGGAAGGGTATAAAAATGGGACTTTTGGTATAAAATAGGGTATAAAACTAGAGTCTTCCAAATATATATTTTCTAGTTGGAGAGACATATTTTACACATTTGTAATTTAAAACAGAATGAAGTAAGTGCTGGGTAGAGATAAAAGTGTACTTGAATCTTTTTGTTTTGAGATGGAATCTTGTTCTGTAGCTCAGGCTGGAGTGCAGTGGTGTGATCTCAGGTCACTGCAACCTCTGCCTCCTGGGTTCAAGCAATTCTTCTGCCTCAGCTTCCCAAGTACTAAGACTACAAGCGTGCACCACCAAGCCCAGCTAGTTTTTGTATTTTAGTAAAGACGGGGTTTCACCATGTTGGCCAGGCTGGTCTTGAACTCCTGACCTCAGATGATCGCCTGCCTCAGCCTCCCACAGTGTTGGGATTACGGGTGTGAGCCACCGTGCCTGGCCTTGGTGTCAAGTTCTAATGACGTCTCTTTTACTGTCTTTTCAGTTTTCTTTTTCTGGGACCTGCTTAGCTACCACTGTTTCTCTTCTTTTTATTGTTTTTTAATTCTTTTTTTTTTTTTTTGAGATGGAATTTAGTCTTGTTGCCCAGGCTGGAGTGCAGTGGCATGATCTCAGCTCATTGCAACCTCCATCTTCCAAGTTCAAGCTATTCTCCTGCCTCAGCCTCCCCAGTAGCTGGGATTACAGGCACCCACCACCACGTCTGGCTAATTTTTTGTATTTTTAGTAAAAATGGAGTTTCATTCTGTTGGCCAGCTGGGACTCAAACTCCTGACCTCAGGTGATCCCCCTACCTCAGCCTCCCAAAGTGGTGGAATTACATGTGTGAACCACCACACCTGGCCAAATTATTTCTGTCTTTATCAGGACAGCTTCTGTGTTTGTTGCATCTTTGACCTGGTTCAGGCAGTAGTTGTTGTCTTCAGATATCTCAGAATCTTTAATTGACTGTTTTATTTATGATTGAAGTACTAAGTCAACAAGTATAGGTAGCTATCATGTGTTTCCTCTGTAATTTCAAAGGGCTGTTTCTCTACCAGGCACTTCCCTTCAGTGGGAATACTGACTTGTAGGCTGTAAGTAAGTGGACAGGTTTTGTTGTTTGGCAGACTTTTCTTTAGGCTGCATGGCTTGAGAGCAGGCTATGTCTAGGCTTAGCCAGGTGTTCTGTAGTCAGGTGGCTATAATGGGCCACAAGAAAGAATAATAGTAAATGTCATATTTCTTTATATGAGCTTATTTTCTATTCTACTTAGTTATCTGTTTTTATCTTGATATTGTAGTACCTTAATTATATCATTTTAATATCTTATAGGACTAGAGCCACTTCCTTACCCCCTTTAAACATACATAGGTTTTTTTCTTTTTTGGCGGGGGTGGAGAGAACAGTCTTGTTCTGTTGCCCAGGTTAGGTCTTAGCTCACTGCAACTTCCTCCTCCTTCTGGGTTCAAGCTGTTCTCATGCCTTAGCCTCCCGAGTAGCTGAGATTACAGGTGTGCCCACTATGCCCGGGTGATTTTTGTATTTTTAGTAGAGACAAGGCGCCACCATGTTGGCCAGGTTGATCTTGACTCCTGGCCTCCTCTCAGAGGGCTGAGATTATAGGCATAAGCCACTGCACTCAACCAAAAATTCATAAGCTTCTTGCCTATTTATTTTTTGCCATGGTTCAGTATATCTTTCAAAATGAATTTATAGGCAAATGTGTCAATCAATATGTGGGGAATATCCTTACACTGGAATACAATATAGATGTTCTATAAATAATAATGATTTCATTACATGGAAAATTAAAACATTGTGAACTTGGAAGGAAAATATTTATTCTTATTTCTGTTTATATAAGATAAAATGGAGGTGGTTACCAGAACGGAAATATTGCTTTTAGTTGAAAAAATTGTGAAAGACTTTGAAATTGGCAAAAAGATTACTCTAAGTATCCTTTCAGTGGAATATTGGATGTTGTCAAGTGAACTCTCCAGGATTATCTGATTCTAGGGATGTGTGCCTCAGATCTTCTTTGGCCAGCCAATTTTACAACTCTACCCAGTTGTTTAAAAAGAAAAAGATAGCAATGCAAATAAATTATGTTCATAGAAGGCAATTAAATTTGTATGATTTACACATTGTAGAAAAAGATTCCATTTTCCTGTATGATACTAAACATTTATTTCTATCTATTAGTAAATGTATTTTCTTATTCCTGTGTGTCTTTATTTGTTTATTTATTTATCTATCTATTTTTGAGACACAGTCTTGCTCAGTTGCCCAGTCTGGAGTGTGGTGACATGATCTCGGCTCACTGTAACCTCTGCCTCCCGGGTTCAAGCAGTTCTACTGCCTCAGCCTCTTGAGTAGCTGGGATTACAGGCATGTGCCACTATACCCGGCTAATTTTTGTATTTTTAGTAGAGATAGGATATCACCATGTTGGCCAGGCTTGTCTTGATCTCCTAGTGGTCTGCCAGAGTGCTGGGATTACAGGTGTGATCCCTGGCTTGCTAACTGCATTTATATATGTCTGTGCTTTAGATTGTCCTTTGAACTGGTTTTTGTATCTACTGTTTCTCATTAATCAATTAATAAAATCATTGATGACATGTTGATTAAAAAAAGAATTTAGACAAACTTTAAAAAATAGGGCATTAGAAGTTATATTAATTCAAGAGATGGAATTACATTTCAAGAATGTTATTTAATAAAAGAGCTAACACTAAACTTTGTAAGATCTTTCAACAGTGTATTTCCAGACCCCATAAGAGAACTCAAATTGTGAGAATTTACTTTGGTTTTTCAGAGTGGCAGCAACTATGCTTATTTAGAGCAGCTTGAGAGCTTGTCTGCAAAAGGACGCCCTATCCCTGTGCGTCTTGAAGCACTGCCGCAAGTGGAATCACAGGTAGCAGCAGCACGAGCATGGAGAGAACGGACTGGGCGGACCTTTCTTAAGAAGAATTCTAGCCATACGTTGTTACAGGTACATGAGCTTCAACACTCTCATAAGAAGCTGATAATTTAAGTAGTAGTAGTATTGATGAGGGTTATTTTCAGTTTATTTGATTACCATTATACAAGTGATTCTCATTAGGTAATATCAGATGTTGACTTAAATCTGGAGCCTTGAGCAGATTCATCTCTAGTTAATCTTGTGCTGGTCCTAGAAAAAGCAGTTGGCCTTGGATTGTTATTGGACTCTATAGTTATTGAAACCTTTTTTTTTTCTTTTTGTTTCTTCTTTTTTTTTTTATTTTGTTTTTTTGAGACAGGGTCTTGTCCTGTCACCCAGACTGGGAGTGCAGTGGTGCAATCTCGGCTCATTGCAGTCTCGGCTCACTGTCTTCTGGGCTCAAGTGATCCTCCCACCTCACCCTCCCAAGTATCTGGGACTACAAGTGTGCACCACCATGCCTGGCTAATTTTTTGTATTTTTGGTGGAGATGGGATTTCGCCATGTTGCCCGGGCTGGTCTCAAACTCCTTTGGGTTCAAGTGATCTGCCTGCCTCAGTCTCCCAAAGTGCTGGGAGTGGCTTACACACATGAGCCACCATGTCCAGCCTATTGTTGAAAGATCTTAATTCTCCAAAGCACAAATTTATATATTCATCATTCCTTTCATCTTGAACAGTTTAACATAGTAGTTAAGAGCAAAGGCTTTGGAATAAGATCCTTCCAGGTTTGAGAACAGACTCCTTAATTGCTAACCCTGTGTCCTTGGGCAAGTTATTTCCTTTGAGAGCATCAGTTTCTCTTGTTTACAAAATGTAGTTACTAATGGCTACTACATAGGGTTGTTGTGGGGAATGAATTAGATCACATGTGTATAAATTTCTTAAGAAAGTGCCTGGGACATGGTTGAATGGTCAGTAAATGGTTCCTTTATTATTTTTACTTTTAAGATTTTTTAAAAACCAGAGTATATAATGTTGGTTTTATCTTTGTAGGTGCTGAGCCCCCGGACTGACATTGGCGTATATGGGAGTGGCAAAAATAGGAGGAAAAAAGTGAAAGAACTAATAGAAAAAGAAAAAGAAAAGGATCTGGACCTGGAGCCTCTGAGTGATCTGGAGGAAGGATTGGAGGAAACAAGAGATACAGCCATGGTGGTAAGAAATTACTTAGCATCTTGAGTTTGTTTGGTGAATACGAAACTCTGTAATGATATTAGCAGACTCACTGTTTTTATGTTTTTAACTTTTTATTTTTACATACTTTGGCTTTATGATTTTATATGTATTTCACATTAAAGATATTTATCACCAAGGTATACAAAAGGTTCAGTATTTTGCTCTTTTCCCAAAATTGTCTTTTCCATACCTCTGTTCTTTATTGTTTTAATTGTTGTCTACTGTTTCATCAAGTTGTTGTCCGTAGTTTGCTGAGTATATATAGTAAGTCCTCAAATCAACAGCATCTTGCACTGCAGCTTTAAGCAAAGCAATGTATAATGAAACCAATTTTACTACAGATTGAGAGAAACGAGTTAAGTTTCTGCAGCATATTTCTGGCCACAAAAACATCAGACTTCTAAATAAAGACCCCAAACACTTCTGACATTAAACATTGAAAAAATTTGAGCTAAACATACATTTTAAAAAGAGTAATAAAAATGAGATAATTACCCAATTTTTGGTAAATTAGTGAGTGACAGTGGCATTGGCCAGGAATTGATTTTTTTCCTCATCAATGTTATAATGAAATCACAGTGAACCTAAAGATTAGATTTGAGGACCTGCTGTAGTTTTCTAATTTTGAGCATTTTGCCTGTTACTAAGTTTCTTATTATAAGTAATAAAATTAACTTTAACCTTTTCCTTTTTTTTTTGGAGACAGAGCCTTGCTCTGTTTGCCAGGCTGTAGTGCAGTGGTGCGATCTCGGCTCACTGCAACCTTCACCTTCCAGGTTCAAGCGACTCTCCTGCCTCAGCCTCCGGAGTAGCTGGGACCACAGGTGTACACTATCACACCTGGTTTTTTTTTTTTAGTAGAGATGGGGTTTCACCATATTGGCCAGACTTGTCTTGAACTCCTGACCTTGTGATCCACCTGCCTCGGCCTCCCAAAGTGCTGGGATTACAGGCGTGAGCCACCACACCTGGCCACCTTTTCATTCGTTTAAATTTCCTAGACTTGACTCTTAGGAATATAATTACTGGGTTAGAATTTAATATAAGCATTTTGTGACTCTTACTACTATTGTGCCTTTCAAAGGAATTATGCAAGGTTACTGATTTCCTTTTCTTAATGAGTATTAAAATATTTGTAGTTGGTGAGAATTATGCTTTTTTGGAGGATAGGAGGAATGTGTTAAGATTACTAGGAGCCTGAGAAAGTAGAGAGAGAATAAGTAGGAATCTGGACAATACAGAAAAGTAGGGAATTGCATATGATATAGCTCTTTCTGCATACAAATGATCCTATTTTGAAGCCAGTGAAAATGATCCCTGATTAGAGAGCCTGCCTAACAAGTTAGTCTTGCTAGACAAGTAGGACTGGAAATTATTTCAGAATTGTTTCAAAGCTGTTAGGAGTTTAAGAAAAAAATGTACTGACAGTATTGATAATTGATTAAATTTGTTCACCTTTATTTACTTTGTTAAAATGAGTTTCATAAAACTCTATTGTTATAGTTGATCATCAGGTTTTTCTATTCTCACACATGAAGAGGGCTTCTCTAGAGAAATAAATTAATTTGTATGGGACTTGCCCCTGGGAATGAATTGTGAGGGGACGGGAAACTAATACTTTGTTGAGTATTTACCTTGTATAAGGTATCAGGTTAGGCACTTTCATATGTTATTTAATCCGTAAAACAGCAAAATACAGTTGGTAGTATCCTTATTTTTCAGAAAACAGAGTTTCTGAAACTTGTTTCCCATATTAGCAGTCTAAAAGTACAAGAGCCAGGCTTTGTGCCCAGGTTGCTTGATTTCAAGGCATCCTATCTTTCTATTGCACCCTACAGAAGAAGCCAAAGTACTATACTGATGTACATGATCAAATATGATAGCACTTTGCCCATTTCACAGCTGAAGAATGTTTGCGTGGAAACTGCCAGGGGCCCCAAATTTTAGGAAATTGTATAACTGATTAACTTGGAGAAAGATCCCACAGCCTTGAGGATTTGGTATTTTGGGGATATATTGCAGTGACTCTTTTTAATTAAATGTTTGTCTTGGACAGGTGGCAGTTTTTAAAGAACGGGAGCAAAAAGAGATTGAAGCCATGCATTCCCTCAGAGCAGCCAACCTAGCCAAGATGACCATGGTGGACCGCATAGAAGAAGTAAAATTTTGCATTTGCCGTAAGACAGCCAGTGGGTTTATGCTACAGTGTGAGCTCTGCAAAGACTGGTTCCATAACAACTGTGTTCCTCTCCCTAAATCAAGTTCTCAAAAAAAAGGATCCAGCTGGCAAGCTAAAGAAGTAAAATTCCTTTGCCCTCTTTGTATGCGGTCTCGAAGGCCCAGGCTAGAGACTATTCTGTCACTCCTGGTATCCCTTCAGAAGTTGCCTGTACGGTTGCCTGAAGGAGAGGCCCTACAGTGTTTGACAGAGCGTGCTATGAGTTGGCAAGATAGAGCACGGCAGGCTCTAGCCACAGATGAACTATCCTCTGCCCTGGCCAAACTGTCTGTGTTGAGCCAGCGTATGGTGGAACAGGCAGCTCGAGAAAAAACTGAAAAGATCATCAGCGCAGAACTCCAAAAAGCAGCTGCCAATCCAGACTTACAGGCAAGTTCAGGATTTACATTCTTTTTCTGTTGCATGGGATGATATATCAGTGTGTAAATTATTAAATCGAATCTGTCTTACCATTTGATTAGGAAAATAACAGTAACTTGTCAGCAATTATAATATCCATTGCATTCTCCTTCAGCATACACTGTAGCACTTTTTTTAGGATACATACTAGTGAAATATTTTTGGGACTATCATCCAGGTGGACTTTTGGCATCATAATCAAATAATTTGATTTCTACTAACTGTTGAAGAACTCTGTTAGCCACTTTGCTTATTCACTACATTTTGGTGAACTTAAGCACACCTTAATTACCCTGTTTGTTTAGCATGTCATGCTGTTGATCTTGGAATTATTTGTTGTTTAGGGACACTTACCTAGTTTCCAGCAGTCTGCTTTTAACCGGGTGGTAAGCAGTGTGTCATCTTCTCCTCGACAAACAATGGACTATGACGACGAAGAAACAGATTCTGATGAAGATATTCGAGAGACATATGGCTACGACATGAAGGTAATTACATGGACAGGCTGTCTGGGTACATACCTGATCATTGGATTTGTTAAAAAAAAAAGCTATTGAATGGCAATGTTTGAGGCCTGAAAGTGAAAGAGAAAACTAGACATCTTTTTGTTCTGAGTTTATAGTCATAGCATTTTTTTCAAAACTCAAAAAAATACAGGTTGCTGAAACTTTTTTTTTTTTTTTAAATGGAGTGTCTGTCACCCAGGCTGGAATGTAGCGGCATAATCTCCGCTCACTACAATCTCCACCTCCTGGGTTCAAGCAATTCTTGTGCCTCAGCCTCCTGAGTAGCTGGGATTACAGGTGTGCGCCACCATTGCCTGGCTAATTTTTGTATTTTTAGTAGAGGTTTCACCATGTTGGCCAGGCTGGTCTTGAACTCCTTACCTGAAGTGATCTGCTTGCCTCAGCCTCCCAAAATGCTGGGATTATAGGCATGAGCCACTGCGCCTGGCCTGAAACAACAATTTTTAGAAAATAGAATTTTAAAAAGATCTGTATTTGTTTTCCTCATCTTATAACTCCTTATGGCATAGAGGAACCAGAAAAACAATGCATTAAGTTATGTAAAGCTTCATGGTCAATTTCAGTTTTTTTCTTTGAGTTGTTAAAGCCTATATACTGTTAAGTTTTAAGAATTCCATTCTAGGCTTAGTCTGAACTCATGCCTGTAATCCCAACACTTTAGGGGAGACTGAGGTGGGAGGATTGTTCGAGACCAGCCTGGGCAACATAGTGAGACCCCCATCTCTATAAAAAATACAAAAATTAATTGGGTTTGGTAGCATGTGCCTGTAGTTCCAGCTACTTGGGAGGCTAAAGTGGGAGGATTGCTTTGAGTGTAGGAGGTTGAGGCTGCCATGAGTAATGGTTGCACCAGCCTGGGCAGCAGAACAAGACCTTGTATTAAAAAAAAAAAAAAAAATTCCATTCTAGCTAGACTATGAGTCTTTTGCTCTGCTTTCTTGTCTGGATGGTGCTAGATAATGTCATATTCAGAGATGGGTAATATAATACTTGTGCCCAGGTTAGAATTTGCTGAGTTCCAGTTGCAGATGCAACAAACTATTTACTATCAATGTGATTATTTTGGTAATGACACCTCACTGGTGGTGAAGAGAAGGTTTTGACAAGTTTGTTTTGTGTTGGATCCAGTTGGCCTTTTGTTACCACTTTGTGTCAGGGGCAAGTCCTTTGCTTTTTAACCTGGTAATAACGTGATCTAGGCAGAGTCAATCCATTGATTTGTTTTATATAATTCTTAGTTGCTTTGTTTAGAATCTATGCTTGTATCCTGAGAATTCCTCCTACTCTGATATAAAACGCTGCCTCCAAAGAACAAGGGGAGATGGTTTCCCTACCCTGTCACTATCTTTTGTCCCTTCAGCTTGCAGATCAGTTGGGTAGTGCTCATTAATCTCATCAGCATTAAAACTCCTGGGATGTAAAATGAAAACCATCCATCATTGACACTTGAATATTCCTCTGCAGGAAAATATTTTTTCTCAAGTTAAAAATGGATCCAGGGGAAAGGCTTGAGAACAGTTGCAATGTGAATTAGCCTGTTCAAATAATCTTCTTAAGCACCTTGTTATCCGGAAGTTAATGACCGTCTTTGTTTACAAAGTTGTATGTAGGAGACTAGGAGCAACTGAAAAGGAATGCAACCCATGCCAAGCATAATTAGCATTTTGCTTGAATACTAGAATCACCTGTTTACCCTAGTTAGAGGCCTTTGATATTTTTGGTGGTGACTTTCTAGCACATTAGGTGTCAATCACTCCTCTAGAATTGCTTAACATGATGGGCTTTGCTTGAAAGCAGACTTGTAACCTATGAAAATATCACGAGTATTGCGTAATTCAGGGCTAGGGATCACAACTATAGTTTTATATGGTTGTATGGAGTAGTCTTTTTTTGGCAGAATTTATGTGAGAATCTTAGCTTACTGTCTCTTTTGTTTGTAGTAGGTGTTGGCAGGGTAGAAAAATAAGATTATGGATTATCTAGTGTTAACAATGTATTTGACAGCTGAGAAGAGAAGAAAGGTGTGAAGACTTAACAGTAATTCAAGGTCAGATTTACTTTGCAGTCAAATGCTCTCCCACTGAGCTGTATGCCCGAAAATTTACTTTGATGTTGCTTTGAATGAAAAAAAAAAAACAAAAACCTATGCTCTTGAGCATTTTCCCATAGAGCAAGCGATTATTGTATAATGAAAATTTTATTTGCCAGTTTATTTGCATTTGGTTTGGTGGTTTTTTCCTTTGTGTGATGCCCTCTGTCGTGACCACAAATTCATACTTAAAATACTTTGAACTTAGTATATTTTGCTTGAGGAAGAGCCCCCTCTTGGTTTAGGAAGAGGAGTAGATAATTAATTAGTAAGCTAAAATCAGCCGTTTTATCTTGGTTATCATCCAGAAAATTATTACTTACGAGGTAGATATTTAATGAAGCAAAGTCTGTCCTTGATTTTTTGGGATTGTGTCTGTGTGGGTGAGGTTGTGGGAAACTAACTTCAAGGAGAATCATCTGAGACCTTGATTCTCTAATCATCAGAGCTCACGTAACATTCCAAAGACTTTAAGTGAGAAACAATGAGATTAAGGAGCAGCACCAAGCTGATCTGCAAGCTGAAATTATTTTTAATAATTTCATCATTGTTACAATGAAATGAAAACAAGGACCTGCTTTATTCAAGGACCTGCTGCCGTGCTTCCTTTTGCTTAAAGTCAGTTTCCAAGAATCTACTGATGGCATATCGTGAAGACTTATTATAATCTGTATATTGTCAGTCAGACATATACTTGTATTAAGTAAGAGCAATTGACAAGATTCTAGGTTTGAAAACCCTTAGAGGAGTAAATGGTTTGTGTCCTTAAGCTGTCACATCTAAATTTATCTTCCACTCCTTAACTTGTTGGTATAGGAGTTTTTCAGGTTGTAGACTATAGAAGGTAAATTCCTTAATAGTAATTTTTTTGTAGGTTTTGTTATCTTTGTGGGTTGTTTTTGACCTTAACACGCTCTTTTGGCTTGAATCTGTAGTCATTATGTTCCTGGACAGAACGAGGTCCAGCTGCTTGTTCTCGCAGTCCAGTAAGGAGATGCAGACTGAGAAAGAAAGTGTATTTCTGCAGCTGGTTATGGAGTAACTCACCAAACCAACGCAAAGTTCCAAGTCTTTTTTAATGCTTGTATTCATTCTAAACTCTATGACTATGTGTGGGAATGCACCTATAAGCAAGAATGTCTCATTCAAACTGTATCGCATCTTTGGATAGGGTCCAGGCTCTGGAAAGTTTTCTCTAAAGACTTGGAAAAATTTCTTAATCTTAAGTGGGCCCTGGTACAAGGTGTGTGTAAGAATGTCTTCATAATTTTATCAGGCTTTAGGGTCTGAGAAAACCCAGGTGACAGCTTGATGGGTTTGTTGTCACGTTTCTGCAGTCATTCCTGTTTAACTTACACGTTCATCAAAATTATGGTAATGTGTTACTAATGGAGACCTGGCCTGCCACAATTACCGTTTTTCTTCCCACTTTCCATTTTCTATCTTATTTAACATCAGATACTTAATTTTCATCTCATATTTAGTATATTAGAAGCTTTAACTTGAAAGCCACCATTTTGGCACTTGTGGTAAAATAAGTTAAATGACTAATTCTGAATACTTCTCTTTGTTTCTTCTTCAGGACACAGCCAGTGTGAAGTCCTCTAGTAGTCTTGAACCCAATCTTTTTTGTGATGAAGAAATTCCCATCAAATCTGAGGAGGTGGTGACTCACATGTGGACAGCACCTTCATTTTGTGCAGAGCATGCTTATTCTTCTGCTTCAAAGAGTTGTTCTCAAGGTATTACTCCTTTAAAAAACTGTGGGGAAGATAAACCTAAAACCGGTGAGAAAAAGCATTATGTTAATCAAGACTGTGAATCCCTTTTGAATGGAATACAGTGCTCTGCCATGAAATGCTAATGGAACCTGAAAATGCTATTTTCCTTAGGAAAAGTCAGTCTCCTATTTGCATTTTCTGTCAACACAATCCGAAAATGTACATGGGATTATTGAGTCCTAATTAGAACTTTAGGGGCTGTCTAGTCCCAGGCCTTAGTTCTAGAAAATTCTGGGTAGGTAGTCCTTTACCTTCTATTTGGTCATTATCAGGGGTTGAGTAACTACTGCTTTTTAAGAATATTTATTCTGGGTTTGGATAACTTAATTATTGAAAGTTCTTCCTTTCCTTGGAGGGTGATTTTCTCTGTGATGTTCATTTTTCTCTCCCTCACCGAAAACAAGTCACATTACTTTAGGTCACAGCTCTGGAAGATGGAGGGTGTTTATCGCTTTATAATAAAATTCAGGATTTTATGGGACTGTGTATTATTGTCTATTCATTAGAAGGATAACTAGTTGTGTGTGTGTGTATATATATATATGGCAGCCAAATGCTTTTTTAATTGCTTAATCTTTTGGTATACTCTAAAATGGAGAGATTCTGATTCCCTTACTCCACTTGCCGCATGATAAAGACTCAATAGAGATTAACATTCAGGATAAAGAACCACTGTTTTTATTTTTTTGAGATGGAATTTCTCTCTTGTTGCCCAGGCTGGAGTGCAATGGGGAGATCTCAGCTCATTGCATCCTCCCCATCCCGGGTTGAAGCAGTTCTCCGGCCTCAGTCTCCTGAGTAGGTGGGATTACAGGCATGCGCCACACGCTCTGCTAATTTTTGTATTTTTAGTAGAGATGGAGTTTCACCGTGTTGGTCCGGCTGGTTTCGAACTCCTGACCTCAGGTGATTCGCCCACCTTGGTCTCCCAAAGTGCTGGAATTACAGGTGTGAGCCACTGCACCCAGCTGAAAGAACTGCTTTTTATTAATAACCCTAAACCATTTTTTAAGAGTAGGGCTTGGAATTGTTCATCTTTTTGGTCCGTATTTGTTTCTAATTCTGTTTACATTTTCATACTGATGCAATGAATCCATATATCTGAAGTTAGTATTGGGGAATGGGGGGCTATTTTAAGTGTTTACTTTGAAAATGTGTTTTTCCTTAGTTTGAATTTTTTTTTTTTGCTTTGTTTTATGGTATTTTTTGGGAAAGGTTCTAGCACCCCAAGGAAACAACCTCGGAAGAGCCCTTTGGTGCCCCGAAGTTTGGAACCTCCAGTGCTGGAGTTGTCACCTGGAGCTAAGGCCCAATTGGAAGAACTTATGATGGTTGGAGATCTCCTGGAAGTATCTCTGGATGAGACTCAACACATATGGCGGATTTTGCAGGCCACACACCCACCCTCCGAAGACAGATTCTTACATATCTTGGAGGTGTGGATTTTATGCTTATTTAAACAGTGGTTTTGAAACTAGAATGCCTGGATTTCTTAGAGGTATCAGTATCATAAATGTTAGCAAAGGGATGGCTGATGGCAATAATCTTGCTGGCTTACTTTCCCTCTTCAGCCAAAGAAATTGTGCTATCTTGCTGTTTTCTTTCCTTTCCTTTCCTTTCCCTTCCCCTTCCCTTTCTCTCCCTCTCTTTCTTTCTTGCTGTCTTTTTTGTTGTTGAACACCAGAGATCTGACTTATGGTTTTCTTTATTAAGATTTTATGTAGTATCTAAGTTGAAAAAAGGCCATTTCTGCTAAAAAGAAGGGGACAGGAAACGGCATGATTGATAACCATCCAGTTTAGAACAACCTTCTTAGCCCAGACTCCCATTATTGGAGGGCCCAAAGATAGGGGAGAATATATAGTGGCTATAAAAAAGAAGCACAGGGATGGTTAAACAGAAGTAGACTGGGTGGGAGAGAAAGTCCACATTCATATACCACACTTACGTAGCAGTTCCGTGAGCTCATTTGATGCGATAATGATACCATATCCATTTGGTTCTCACCACTGTCTTGAAGAGGGATAGGTAGGGGAGGGAGAGACAGAGCAAGTATTTTACCCATTCTGCATATGAAGAAAGTAAGTATGAGAGGCAGAAAATTAAGGTCACACCTCCAGTAAAAATAGAGACCTGGATTCTAACTTTGCCATTTGACTCCTATTCTTTTCATTAGTTTCCTTGTTTCCATGTCATGGAATGGTACCATATCACCAATAGTTGATACAGATACATTTAGCATACTATAGTTTGTTTTTATTTTGGAAGTAAGATCTAGGTAGCGTAATTTAGATAGTGTTTTCCAGTCTGCAAAGCATTTTCTTCTCCTTCATTATCTTATGCAATCCTCTTAGAGATAAGGAAGCACAAAGTATTAAGAGGTTAAATATTTATTCAAGATATAATAGAGTTCAAGCACTTATAATCCAATCTTCTTTTGGATTCTGCTGATTCTTAGGTTCCTTTAAAAGATTTTCAAATCTCAAATCTACAGAAAAATGAATTCTCAAATGTTTTTTCTTAAGGAATTTACTAAGTTTATGTTATGTTTCTTCAGTATTTCTTTGATGCCTCCTCCCGTTCTTTCTGTTACTAGATACACTTTTACCATGAACAGTTTAAATGTTTATTACATTGGCACATACTAGCAGCAGTATTAAAACGCTGAAAACAAAAATGACAGTTGGTTGTTTTTTTTTCTTGGTCACATGAGCTGTTTTCTGGCCCTTGGCAAAGTCACTATATATTCTTTGTTATGAGATCGTGGATACAGTTTTATATTTTTCTGACTTTAAAAAATAACCACCAATACTTTTGTTAATTGGGTTAATGCTTCACTAGTAATAAATTGCAGACTCCGAAAGTTACTACAAAATTTAGTACAGTTAGCTCTTTGTGTATGTTTTCATCTCTAACAGAGATGCTGCAGACTGTTAATATGTTAACACTGAAATTTTTTTGTGCCCTTTTTCTCCTACTAAGCTAAAAATAAGTTAAATATTTCATTTCAGACTTGTCATTATTTTCTACTGTTATCTTCATTGAATAGCGTACTTGCCTTCTTAAAATGTCTTTTAAATATCTTTAGAATAACATAAATCTTTTTTTTTTTTTTTGAGATAGAGTCTCTCTGTTGCCCAGGCTGGACTGCAGTGGCTTGATCTTTGCTCACTGCAGCTGCTGCCTCTTGTGATCAAGCCATTCTTCTGCCTCAGCCTTCCAAGTAGCTGGGACTACAGGCATGTGCCATCACATCCAGCTAATTTTTGTATTTTTAGTAGAGATAGGTTTTCACCATGTTGGCCAGGCTGGTCTCGAACTCCTGACTTCAAGTGATCCAACCTCCTCAGCCTTCCAAAGTGGTGGGATTATAGGTGTGAACCACTGCGCCTGGCCCATAAATCTTTTTTTATTGTGGCATAATATCCATAACAAACAGTTTACCATTTTAGCCCTTTTTAGGTAGACTGTTCACTTGGAACAACTGTCACCACTCTTCTTTTCCATAATTTTTTAGTTATCCCCAACAGAAACTATACCCACTAAACAAATTCTCCATTTCTTCTTCCCTTCAGCCTCCGATAACCTCTGTTCGACTTTCTGTCTCTCTGAATGTGTATTCTAGATGTCTCATAAAAGAGAGTAACACCGTTTTTTAACTGTCTTGCTTTAAAGTTGTTCCTAAATTTTATATTTTTGAAGGATGACAGCATGGAAGAGAAACCACTGAAAGTGAAAGGAAAGGACTCTTCAGAGAAGAAACGGAAGCGGAAGCTAGAAAAGGTAGAGCAACTTTTTGGAGAAGGAAAACAGAAGTCCAAGGAGTTAAAGAAAATGGACAAACCTAAAAAGAAGAAATTAAAGTTAAGTACAGACAAATCAAAGGAGTTGAATAAACTGGCCAAGAAACTAGCAAAAGAAGAAGAGAGAAAGAAAAAGAAGGAGAAGGCTGCTGCAGCCAAAGTTGAACTTGTGAAAGAGAGCACTGAGAAGAAAAGAGAGAAAAAAGTGCTGGACATCCCCTCAAAGTATGACTGGTCAGGAGCAGAGGACTCTGATGATGAGAATGCTGTATGTGCAGCACAAAACTGCCAAAGGCCCTGCAAGGACAAGGTGAGTTCCTACTGTTTATAGTCAAGTGTGAGGGATCAAGGAACAACAGTTGTGGAGATACATGTTTGGTACCAGTGTAGTTTGTTTTTGATTCTAGGATTTGGACTTCCAGCATAATATCTTTTGTACAATTTCTATAAACTGTTTTGAATAATGAGGTCCTTAATGTGCCTAGTATAAGAAGTGTTGTATTTTTAAAATCACATACTTAGTGAACATAATGAGACAGGAGCAGAGACAAGCTATGTGCCAATCCTTGGCAAACAGTGCATTTCATATGCAGTAGGCATAACAAGTTTCAGAATAGTCTTGTGCCTTCCCTGTAAGGTGACTCAGGGAACTAAATACCTTGTCAGTTAGCCACAGTGGCCTGAAAAAAAATCCTGGGCCAGTATTGTAAGAGCTACAGCAAATTGCATTAAGACTGTATTCCAAAGACTTGAAACTTTTGGTCCATATCTTACTCATACTGAGACCTATGAGCACTCTCCTGAATGGAATATGATTTTCTTCAAATCTTTTACAAGAAATAATTCAAACCTGTAAATAAATAAAATAAATTTTATTTTAAAAATTTCAACTCTAAATTTTAAGTACAGTAATTCTGTGATGGCCATTCTTTAGATATAATGTTGACAGTATGAACTTCTGAGAAATAATCAGACTTTGTGCAAAATTCCAGTTGTTTAAATGGAGGCACCTGTTATGGTTCTTGTCAAGAATATTGATAAATCTGTAGTTTTAATTTTATTATGCTCATTACACTACTTGCTATTTAGAATTCAGATAGTGCCTCAGTTTGAAAATATAAACAGTAAATAAAACTGCATCACTATTCCCTATGGGTTATGCCCTCACTTATTTATTCAGTGAAATATTTAAGCATTTCTAGAGCTTGAAGAGACCAAGAGGTCACCTTGTTCAGGCTGCTCATTTTACAAATGATGCAACAAGGACTCAGGGAAGATCAATTATGTGCCCAAAGTTACAGAGCTAATAAGTAGCAAAATCAAAAGTAGAACCCTAGATCCCTGGCTCTCAGACTAGATTCTCTCCACTAACACTCTAGCCCATTGATAATTGAGATGTAAGTACAAAAACACATTCCAGACTAAATTACACATATTTAAATAAATAAGATGTATTAGAGGTATTCTATTTATTTTTGGAAAATGAATACTGTATATAGTAAAATATATATCCTGTAGTTTAATTTTCCAAGGCAGACAGCTATAAATATTTTAGTGTTTCCTTTCAAATTTTTTATGGGATTTGTTTTATGTGATTGTCAGGCTGTTTATTGACTTGCATTTATTCATTTTATAAGTATTCTCCTATATTATAAACATTTTAAAGCATTTTAGTACATAGGTAATGTGAATATTATTTTTATCTTTAGTTTTGAATTTATTTTCATTTTAATTTGTTTATTAAAGAGGCTGATGCAGAGTTAACTTTCTCTTTGGGTACCAAAGTGTTAGCAGTTCAGTATTGGCAGAACCTTCTCCCTTTCCTTTCTCCTTTAATTTTATGGTAGTGTCAAGGCTAGCAGCAAGGTAGGATGTTTCTTTTTTAAACTTTCCTGTCATTCTTTCTATAATGTTTATATTTATCATAAGCCTTTAATTTTTGTACTCTTTTTCTCCTTATCACTTAATCTTTCCCTTCCCTTTGCTCAGTGTTTAAATATGATTCAGTTCATCCATTATTCCTATTGTCTTCTTAGAGCAGCATAAACACTATAGGCTGTTTTTTTTTCATTTGCTATGAAATTGTCAAAGTAACAGATGCCCTGCTTAGCTATGATCATAAGATGAAACAATCTCTATGAAAGCACTTGTTAACCAAAAACACAACGTAAGTGCTAATATGTGATCATTATTTTTTGAAGAACCATGAGATATGCTCCTAATATATTACAGGTGTTTTTTAAACAAAATCTAGAGTTATCATCGACATTTTAATGGAGCAAAAGGAGATTTGGCTGAGTGCTCAGAGAAAAATGTCTATTTTGAACTGTTAAAATACATAAAATTGAGCAATGTGTACCCTACCCTGTGTTGTTAGTTTACATAAAACAGTGTCATATTTCTTTGTTTTTTTTTGTTTTTTTTTACACTTATGGACATCCATGCCAGTGTAACAGTATTATATTTCTATAATGTGTTTCGTTTTAAGCAGAAGTTATTTCAGATTATAGGTACTTTTCCTGTTTTTGCTGTTTTGCAGTTTTTATGGTTCTATATGTCTGTTCCTGACACTTTGAGTAAATAAAAGCTTTATTTCTATAAAAGCTTCTGTAAAGAATGTTAAAACTTTCTCAGTGTTTAGTGTTTCTCTAAGAAAACTAATGTACAGCACACATTTATAGAACAAAATAAGAAAAGAATGCTTTTGCCAGGTGCAGTGGCACATGCCTATAGTCCCAGCTATTCAGGAGGTTGAAACAGGAGGATTGCTTGAGTCCAGGAGTTCAAGGCTGTAGTTAATGTGCTATGATTGTGCCTGTGTTTGCACCACTGCACTCCAGCCTGGGCTATGCAGGGAGACCCTGTCTCAAAAAGAAAAAGATTGGCAAGATGATGTTTAAAAAAAAAAAGAGAAAAAATGATGTTTTCAAGAGCACTTTGTTCTTTAAAATACCGTGCAGCAAAGAATAACTTCTAGGGTTCACTTGTTCTTAGGTGAATTCTCTCACCAGTAATTACTATTACTTCTCTAACCAATAATTACTGTTACTTTTCCCCAAAAATGTGCAGATTGAGAAATACTTTTTTTTTTTTGGAGACAGGGTCTTACTCTGTTGCCCAGGCTGGAGTACAGTGTACAGTGGTGTAATCATAGCTCGCTGCATCCTTGATCTCCTGTGCTCCAGCAAGCCTCCTCCCTCAGCCTCCTGAATAGCTGGGACTATAGGCACACGCCACCATGCCCAGCTAATTTGAGAAATGTCTTTTAAAAATTAAAAGAAGGATTAAAGGCGGCTAGTTAAATGTGCCTAGCCTCAATTTCAAGATGTTTTAGAAAAGGAAAGACAATACCAGAATAATGTAAAAGATTTTGAAAAAATTCTTCCTTTATTAAATTAATGTCCAGCTGAAATTAATAATAATGAACTATTTTTAAAAATTAATTTTAAAGTTCAAAATCTTTTTCTCTTTGAACTCTTTATTCAGTCTTACTGGTACCAAAGATAAAACAGGTTAACTGGAAAAAGACCAAATTCTTTCAGGCCAATAATTTAAGTAACATTTTTCTTCTGTATTAGAATAAATATTTAATAATTTTACTTATGAAAATAGTCTTCTTTTTCCCTTCACTTTTTTTACTCTCTTATTGTCGGCCTTTTTCTTACCCATTCTTACTTCTTACAGAAGTTTGGTGTGGTAAATTAAGAGACTGAATTTATGAACTCTCACTTTGACTATTTATTAGCCACTCTGACTTTAAAAGATTTTCATGGGGGTGTTGCCTCACTCAAGGTATTTGCATTTTCAGTGGTCGTACTAGTTCATATCTCCTTTTAGCGTAGATAGTCAAAGGTTAAGTTACCTAAATGTGTGTAACTAACACACACACACACACACATATACGTGATTTTGAGCTAGAGTAACCATCTGTCCCAGTTTCCCTGGCACTTTTCTAGTTTTAGCACTGAAATCCCCACATACTCAGAATTCTTTCATTCCTTGGCAAATTGGGAGGGTTGGTCACTGAATATTGAGGGCACCAAGAAAATATACACAAGGATTCTGAACTTATGTTGTAGTTCACTAAGTGAATTGTTTTCCTTTTTCAAATCTGGTTTTTGCAAGGAAACTTGGTGCAAAAGATATTAAATGCCAAAATAACAAAAACTCAGTTACTCAGCTAAGAACATCACTAAATTACCAGATTTTCTTTTTTCCCAGTGCAGTACTATTCTCTAAGAAATGAACAAAATATACTATACCAAGTATTTTTTTTAAGTGTAAAACACTGACAGCAAAACATGAATATTAAATTATTTTCTCTCTTTAATGTATTCCTCTTTAAAGCAGACATTTACCCCAGATCTGGACATACTAACCTGTTTGTACTATAATGTAAAATCTCTTACCATTCAATATTTGAACAGCTCATAGCTGTGAAGTTTAAGAATTATTTTTTTGGATTCACTAAACATGTCTCCTGGAAATAATGAAACAGGAGATGACAATTTATACAGTTATCCAAATTCTATGTTCTTGACTTTTCAGGATACTACATAGTATGTTGCCCCTGTGTCAAAATCATCTTTGGAGTCAGTTGACATCCCAGACTTTAGTTTGCTTTATGATGCTGTGGGCTTTTCACACAAAAGTAGAACTCAAATTTGATTGTTAGTAGATGAACATGATAAAAAGATACTGGTAAGAGAAGGACTATTTTTTGCTCATCATATTATCAGGCTAAATTGTTACATAACCTGTAGTCTGGGTTAGAATTTGTGTACCAGTAACTCAAGGAACGTTGTATACTCTTTTGAAATGGTAGAAGAGCTAGGCTAAGGAGGGGCCTCTAGTCAAAAATCACAAAAGGGAAAGTATTGTCTTATTTGCAAGAGAATTTTGGGAAATTGTAAGCCAGTGAGTATACTAGAGCAAAATTTAGATTTAAAGAGACATAGGACACTTTTTTTGTAGCAAATACTGATACACTGATAACTTTCTTATCCAGTGGGTTAGCATGAATGGGGACTAGACTGGATTAAGAGGGTTGGAGGTAAGGGTAAAGGTATCTGTTGGTTCAGGTGTACCATTGTAAATAGCATAGTATCTCAAACCCGGGCAGCACAGAGAACCACAGTTTATCATTCCAGTTCCCTTTACCAGTCCCAGACAGCCAAAACACTCATTCTGAGTGCACCTGCTCTACAGCTAGCATTTTGTAAGTCTTCACCTGCTTGCAGTACTTCAATTTTTACATTTTGTGCAGATGCCACTGTTATTTCCCTTTCTTGTAGTCTCTGATTAGTTTGCTACCATAGGAACATTTTGATGAGGTTTTTTTTTTTGTTTTTTTGTTTTTTTTTTTTTATTGCACAGACTTCAGAAGCTAAACAAACAATTACAGAACAAAAACAGAAAACAGTTTAGGAAGGTATTAAGTTGCTCTGAATTTACCAGCAATGATCAAATTTAAAATATATGAGAATCACTTGGGAGCTGATTAAAAATGTAAACTTCTAGCTTGTACTCCCCAGATATTCTGAGTTCATAGGATGATGGGTCCCAACCACATTTTTAACAAACATAATAGATGATTCTGATGCCAGTGTTCTACACACTTTGAAAAGCAGTGCTGCAGAGAGTTACAACAAGGTGTAAAATGTTTTGTGTAGTGTAGGATAATGAGTAGGGCCATGAGACCATGACTGGAAAGTGTCTCCAGTATCCTAGGCAGTGAACTAGTTGTTCTGCCATACATTATTTCATTGGATCCTCTTGGTAATCTCACAATTAATGTCATCTCCCTTTTTCAGATAAGGAAATTGAACCACTCAATGAGGTTAAATGACTTGCCTGAAATTATACATACTGGAACTCAGAACTTCTGAGTTGAGTAATCTTTATGTTAAACAATATTGTCTCTTAAGAGCTAGAACTTTAGGAACAATTAAAATATTATTTTGATAAATTATTTTTCCCACCCCTTATAAGCCTATAACTACTGACACAACTACTGTGGTTTTGACAATTTTTTAATAGGACATGGAAACTAATTTTGAAAATCACTCACTTCCAAGGAATGAAACTCATTTACCTAGCCAAAACCTCCTTCCTCTGTTCTTTCTCATAAGTTGTATTGAGGTACTTCTCTGATCCCTTTCTACTCCTTACTTTGATACCTGATAAAGCTCATGGTTTTAAGTGGTTTCTTATGCCAATGAAAAGATCAACCTTTGTATTGAGGTGAGGGAGAGTAGCTCTTTTCATCTTAAATGTTCTTGTTTGCCATGACATTAGCTGTAAAAACTACTACAACCAGTCTTCAAATACAAAAGGCAAAAGTCACTTTATTGTTAACTCTAAGTCCAAGGCTTAAAGTCACCAAACTACAGTCCCTCCCTAGCCTCCTGTAACCATACTGTCATCAGAAGGGTCAGAGTTTGCTTGGCACCTGCCACTGACCTATCAATTTTCCAGATTTTAATTTTAAACCCCAGAGTGATCTATTGACCTGTGTCTTTGACTGTTATAATTGGTTAATTTGTAAGATTTGACATCTGATATTTGCTAACTTTTTATAGGGAGTTGTATTTGTAACGGAAGAAGAGAAGAATAAAAAATATTAGTTTTAAAAGTGGCCTATGTGACTGCTTTTCTAAAAAGGTATTTAATGCTCTTAGTACTTTGGCTTATCTCTTTGAAATAAAGCTAATACACAGGATTGCCTTCACATTGTTGTACTCTTCCTTTCTTGATTGATAATTGCATTGTCTTAGAGCCTAGAAATTGTTAATATTAGCTAAAACTACTTGGCTGCTCTATTAGAAGTACCCTTTTTGTCAAATTTTTCTCAAACATGTTTCTGCCTCACAAGGAACCCCAGGTATTCATGAGGTAATGGAGTACCTGAGAGGCCTAATTTTGTGGACACACTATGGTAAAATATAATTTTGGGGTATTAACTTCTCAGCTTCTTTCTTTAAAAAATAACCCCATAAGAAGTCATTGCCTATCTCTAGACATCCCAGTTGTTTGCTATCATTTAAGCCAAGAAAGCTCTTTGGTTTGCTTTTATTCTAGGCTTAATGTTTATGTAACCTAAACATTCCCCAATCTTGTTTCCTACAGGTAGACTGGGTACAATGTGATGGTGGCTGTGATGAGTGGTTTCATCAAGTTTGTGTGGGTGTATCTCCAGAAATGGCTGAAAATGAAGATTACATCTGTATAAACTGTGCAAAGAAGCAGGGGCCAGATAGCCCAGGTCAAGCAACACCTCCTTCCTTCATAATGAGCTACAAACTACCAGTGGAGGATCTTAAAGAGACAAGTTAGCAGATGCTTGGTTAGTTTGGGACATGGGGGGAAATGGACCACATTGAGACCTTAGTCATCAAGTAGAGTGGTTTATATCCACTTGAAATGTTGCTTCCAAAGATGAATGGCCTTCAGAGAAAGTCCTCTTAGTGCTGGCTTCCTCTTTGCATGGACTCTGTGGGTTACATTCTATCTCAGCATATCTTTGCAGAGGGTGTCTTCTTTGGTACAGCAGCCAATATTTCAACTCATGTTTCCTTTGAGTGTGGTTTATTGCATTAAGGCCAGATGCTTGATCGAGCTCTAGGGTGGCTGGTTGGTATTAATACATTGGTGTGCTAACAGGGCATGTAGGATGTGGCTTATGTCCAGTTGATATTACTTAGAGGCTTACAACTTAGGAGCAGCACCACCTGAAGGTGCTAATTGCTTGGATCTCCTTCATTGGGATAGTTGGAGAAGGTTTTCCATTATTACCTGGTACTTAATGCCCTAAAGATACAACTAGGAGTAACAGGGCCAAAGTTATTTCTCTTAGACATCAAGGAATGATATCAGTCTATTGACCTCAGATATTTGTGCTTGTTTGTGCTAGAAGAACACCCCAAATAGGAGAACCTCTCACCATCTGGGGCAGGTCACCTTATCTTTGTGAGGATGAGGGTGTCATCTAGTTCAGAAATCTGATTAGATTGGATTCTGGGGAGATGAACCTACTACAAGGCCAGGAGCCTTTTTTTGGCTTTGGAAAAATCTTGCTGTCTTGGGTCTACATTTTAGGAAAGAGCAGGTACATGGATCCAGGCTTCTGTCAAAGGCTTCTGTCAAAAAAGAAACGACGACGACGATGAGTCATACTATCTTACTGAGCTGCAGTGATGCATGCTTTTTGGGGAAAACTTCATTCACAAGTATTCCAGACACCAGGCTTCAGGCATGGCCATGAGCAAGACCAGCAAATAACAGCTTTTTGCCTTGCAGCCCTGACCCCAATGTCTGCTGTTTCCAACACTGGCAATTTCTAACTACAGCCCACATTAGATGCTGTTGAATAACACCATGGCTTCATCAGAGGATGGGGGTTGTAGTACCTCTGGGTGATGAAGTTGTTTTAGTAAATCCATTTTTAAAAAGAAAAAAAAGGACTTGTTTTTACTTTTTTCTAAATGTCTCTGACTACTGACTGTTCTATAAATAGATTATTTTTCCTTTTTTAATATACATATATGAATATATAAATATATATATTTACTGTTACCAGCAGCATAGGACAGAGTTTCAACATCAAAAATCCATTTGGGGGCTTGCTTTTTTTTTTTCGCTTTAAAAAAAAAAATCCCATTCCTTCCTTGTAGTATAAGGAATTAGCACTCCCTCCTCCATCCCAACCTGACCAGATCTTCCCTTTTGTTCAAATAGATAATTGTATTTCCTTTGTGTGTTGGGACTTGTCCCTGTCTTCTGTGAAACTTGGTCTCACTCTAGTCTGTGCTGGCTGTTTTTCTTTTGTGTGTGAATGTTTGAAACTATGGTGCTGTGTCCTCTTCCCTCCTGTTATGTTCTCTGTTCTTCTTAAGGTATTAGGTAAGCTGTATGTAAACTCTTATTAGAAGGGGACTAATTTTTTTAAAGGACAAAAAACAAAAACAAAAACAAAAAATAGTGTTTTGTCTTCATTGTCTGGTATCTTTATTTTGGTTTAAAAATCTGTGGTTTGACTTAAATTCTTAAATTCATCTGTTTTCCTTTTAAGGGGGGATTGGGGTAGACCTAGCAACAGCTTATAGTCTCTTCCCTTTTTGCCCCAGTCTCTTTTAAAGAACTGTCTTCTAGTAACTAGAAGTGAAATGTACTGTCCAGTTACAGTTTGAGTGGGTATGAGATTTAACTCAAAAGGCATCTTACGAAAAAAAAAAAAAAAAAAAAGCAGATGTTTTCTTATAAAATCCAATTCCTGTAAATGTTTTCTCTGTGGTTCGTACTACCTACTTTTTAGTCATTCTTTTCTCTTACTATTGTATAACGTTTGACTTGTTCAGAGGTTTGTTAGTATTACTGTGCATGCATCTTGAGGTCTCATCTCAAGTGTGTGTATGATCCAAGATTTCAATGAATATTGCAAGGTAACTAATTCACTAATTTCATAAGTTTTTCTTTTGTCAAACTAAAGATTATCAATTAAGAATTTCATCTGGTTGATGTTATACAAGAAAGCACAATATTTTTTGCCTTTTGGTCTTCTTTGTAAAAGTCTTCAGATACTTGTGGGTTAAAAATTGAATGTAATTTTAAGTGATGGATGCCTGGAATACAATTTAAAATTTTTATTTTTCCTTCCAAGTCTTCCATTAAGTATTCCACCATTGGTGGAGAGTTATGAGGGTGCTGAGAAAGTATGAATAACTTCCTGTTACTTTCTGACATTTCGAAACTTAAATATATCTTTTCATTGATACTGTGGGATTTTCTGTATTTACTTGAAAGTCATGGAGGATTTGGTCTGACTTGACAGGTTTAGACCAAGGCCGAGAAAAACAGAAGGGAGAAATTAATGGCAAAACAAAAACCACACAAACCTGTAGTTTCGGAATTAACAAAACGAGATTCATCTATTTGAAATGTTGGTGTTCTAATATATAGCATTATTTTCACTTGGAGGAAATTACTTATTCAACTTGCTCCCTTCTTCTGTATTGTAATATTTTGTATTAAGACATGATTTAAAATGTCTTTGTACCCTTCTTATCTCCTCTAAAGTGCAACTGGAGTTGCAATTCTTCACTGTTAGTATTTTAACTTCCATGTTTAATTATTTCAAAGGTGTTTCTCACTACCTTCATTATAAATTATCTTGGTAAAGGTTACAGAAAGAAAAATGGAAAAATGGTAGGCCTTCGATATTGCTAAAGGCTAAGTCATGAGAACTATGCAGATCCCTGAGTTTAGAAGTACAAGTAGAGCACTAGTAGTTAGCTTTCTAGCTGGGGGAGAAGACAGGACATTTTCTTCCCACAGATGTTTGTTTTGCTTCCTGATATGTACTGCAACAAAGCCATGTTGACGTAGATGCGGGACTTCCTCACTAAGCTGCTGCACCTGAGCTTTGCCTGCATGCTTCAAATTTGTGCCTCAGTAAAATTATAAATTACTGCATGTCATACTTTGAATAGTTGAAAAGGCAAACATTAAACCTTTGATTGCCCACAATGTACTTTAATAATAAAAAAACATGGCAGCCAGGTGCAGTGGAGTGCACCTGTAGTCAGGAGGCTGACGTGGGAAGATTGCTGGAACCTGGGAGTTTGAGTCCATCCTGGGCAACAGCAAGTCTCTGTCTCTCTCTCTCTCTCTCTGTCTCTCTCTCTCTCTCTCTGTCTCTCTCTCTCTCTCTCTCTCTCTCTCTCTCTCTCTCTCTCTCTGTCTAAAAAAAACAAAGGCTGACAGACCTGTAAGATTAGCATGATTTTACCTGTGCTTTGCCACCTTTCTTCTCTACTATTGTCTTTAGCAGGTGTCCAAAAAAAATCTCTGTTCTTTTGTGTTTCTTCATTTTTGGATTCTGGATGCAATTCAGTGCATGTAAAGAAACTCCTTGCTTGTCAGTATTTTAATTCTGTAGTACATTTGTGTGAATATCAGCCAGTGCTTACAGTAGGAGGATGAAAAGAAAAACTGAGAAAACCTCAAAGGATGGCATTAGCCACTTTTTAAGGGAGAAAGTGACAATTTGGAGTGGGATTTGAAAAGTGTAAATTGTGGAAAAATTGAGCTGTTGAAGTCCCACATATAACCAGGTTTAATAAAGTTTCACATGTGAATTAGCTTCATATGTGTGTAGAAGGTTGCTTTTACAGTAAGTAGGTCCTTAAATACTCAATTTGAAATTCCTCCTTTTTTTTCCTTTTCAATTAAAGCATATCATTACTTCTTTGGATATGAATGTGCCAGGTGGTATCTCATACCGTAGTATGAGAGAGAAAGAATGGATGTTAATGTATTTTTTGAATTTTCGTCTTCTCTTGGCCTGGATCATATCCAGTCACCACTATGCAACAAATGATGTGCACTGGGCAAGGATATGATGGGGTGGGGTATTAAAGCTGCATCTTGCTTGTTTGTTCTTTTGCAGTACTCCAAGTGGTCTAAACAGCAATGTCTTGTAAACCTCAAGATTCCCTGTTGATTATTCCCTTACATATTTATTTACAATTTATCAGGGTAATTGGTGGTGCCTTCCAAAAAATATAACCTGATTTCTTGATCTTTGAGCATGTTTTGTGTTTCTTTTGTTTTCTGAAATAACATTAGATATGGTTAATTACATCTAAAAGATTTAAAACATTTTGTGTATGCTCAGGTTCTCTACCCTAACCCCTACCCCCTGTCATTGGTGGCAACTTGAAATGGTAACCAAGTAAAAGGACATTTTGGTAATGAGTGTTGATAATCCTGAGGAAAACTAGTGAGTATATGGGAGCCACCTTTAACCTGTGCCAAAGCAGTTTCTAATTTCATTTGCTCTATATAAAATAAAGAACTGAGCTGAAATAATTTGCTCAGTGGTGTGATTAGCCTATTATCATTGCTGAGAATAGGGTTTTTGGAGTGTGAAGTGATTCCTGAAGATTTCATCTGGTCTGTTTCCAGCAAGAATCCTGTGATGACCAACACATTTCCTCACCTTTGGTTCTTGAGAAATTTATCTCTTTGCAACAAACCATTAATAGGGAAAACAAGGAAATGCTTTCCTTTCTCTTTGGCTTCTTAAAGCTCACAGACCCCAAGTTCCTTCAGAGAAGCAAATGGCACCTTTTCCCCATTGCCAAGGATCCCAGCTTATGCAGGTATGAAGGACAGATCATTTCTGAAAATGTTAAGACTCTGCTTGCAGTGAACTTGGTCTCAAACAGTTTCATGAAATATGTAACTGTGTATGTTAGGAGGAGGGTTGGTTGAAAGAGCAGGGGTAGTGGGGGAAATCTGATTATCTCTGGGGAAATAATTTTCTTGCCAACAAAAAGAGACACCTGAAGTTTCTTAAGGTGGCAAGTCCATTAAAAAAAAAAATGTGTAGGACCCTCCCAGTTTAAATCAAGTGTTTCTTGGGGAATCTCGACATTGTGGTTGATAACAATAAATGGAAGATTCAGAATACTTTCATTTAAAGCTGAACCGTTAGTTGGAATATGATGAAACATTTTACACATTATAAAAGTAGGGAACAGTACAAAATAATGCAATCAAATACTTACTGTATTATATGAATAAACTACAGTGATTGTGGCATTTGACTCTCTTCACCCCTTTTCACTCGTTTGTTTTCTAAAGTGTCTTTCTACTCTACTTTGGTAGGAAGAAAGACTTGATTTGATATTTCTATCTAGTAAAGTAATGTGAAATTTTTTTATTAGGTGAAGGTTTTCCCTATCCTTCTCTGGAGCTACGTTGTGTATCTTGTCAGTGGGGGAAAGAAAGGCACCACAGGAAGTTTTAGAAATGGCTCAGTGGTCCCAGCTGGTGAACCTTGCATTAAGGAACCCTTTTGAAGTTGTCAGGGACATAGGATGAAATCAGAATGTTCTTTAGTTTTAAAAAAGCTTTTCAAAGTCCCAGATGAGAACCCTAGAATTACATAATGTAAAGAACACTGGATTTAGGAATCAAATACTCTGGGTTTTAGCTCTCTGCTTGGCCCCTTATGATGCTTAGCTATTACGGACCTTGGTTTCCTACCATGTGCAGTTTAGTTACAAAGAAACTTAAGTTATAGCCCCCCCCCCCTCAACAGGGTAAGAACATAGATGGTTTCTAAGGATGTTTCTTCCTAAAAAGGTTATAGAATTTAAAACACTAGAGGTTATATAGTTCACATCCCCATTTAATGCTCTTTGGTGTTGGTGGGTGGTGGTTTGACAGCTGGGCTGGAGGCTTGTGGTTTCCTGGTTATTTTCACCAGCATCTCTCAACAGTCTCAGCTGATTCTTAAGATGTCGGCTTAAATGCTACCTCTTCAGAGGCCCCCATGTTCTCTCTTGCAATGGCCTATTCTAGTCCATAAGGAGACTTTGCCATATATGGCATATTTGTGTAAAAGTTCCATGAGAGCAGAGGTTTTGTTTCCTTTATCTCTTCATACATGGCAACTAGAGCAATACTCTGCATAAACATTTAACAGATAACTTGAAGGAATGCTGTTTCATGCCTTTGTTCCTTCCTCTACATTATTGCTCCCCTGTTGTTCTCTGTGTTTGGAGTGCCATAACTTCACTACCTTTTCTCCTTACTACCTTCTCACTCTTCAGAATTCAGCTCATCCCCAGATTCCTTTGAGAAGTCCTTTGGATTACATGTAATCTGAGTTAGGTGTCCTTTCTTGGAACTCAGTGGTTCTCAGAGTGACGTTTCTGCATGGACAGCATCACCATTGTCTGGGAATTCATTAGAAATGCAAGTTATGAGGCCCTACCCTAGACCTCCTGAATCAGAAACTCTGGGAGTGGGCCCAGCAACTTATGTTGTTAACAAGTCCTGCAGGTCATTGTGATGCACGCCAAAGTTTGAGGACCGCTAGAGTATAGTCACTATAGATTATATCTCCAGGATCTGACACAACACCTAGAACAAGATTATCATGAAGATCTTGCTTATAAAGACCTGAAATCTGTTTTCCTGTAGCCTCATCAATCCTGATTCTTTTCAGAAAATGAAGAACTAGTTCAGTTGCATCTGCTAGGCAACCTTAACAACGTTTAAGGATAGTGATTATCTCTACTTCTCTACCTCTCGTCCCCAGCTCCTCTGGTTTAATATCATTTTTTTTTTCTCATGTGCTATAACTTTGAATCCCTTCACCTGCCTCATTGGGTTTATCTGGACAATTTCAACTCCATATCCATCTTAAATATATATTCAAAATAACCTTTTAGCTTTTAACCTACAATTCTGAAAGGTGCAACTGTACATGCCTATAATCACCCCAGCAAAACAGAGGTCACAATGAACATGGTTAGAATTCCATTTATACAGTCGGAGGTGTATAGTGGAAACCAAAGGTGTTCAAAAGCTTTGTACATTCTCTATTTCAGAGGGCTTGGCCTTCGTAACATGTAATTCTGTAAAATAGTTTCAGAACTGAATTGGTAATCCTCCAACAGAACCACCTGGAGAGCTTTTACAAACCATACCTTGGCCAGGCATAGTGGCTCACATCTGTAATCCTAGCACTTTGGGAGGCCGAGGTCAGGGGATTGCTTGACATCAGGAGTTCAAGACCAGCATGGCCAACGTGGTGAAGCCCCGTCTCTACTGAAAATACAAAAATTAGCTGGGCATGGTGGCACAGGCATGTAATCCTAGCTGCTCGGGAGGCTGAGGTACAAGAATCGCTTGAACCTGGGAGGCGGAGGTTGCAGTGAACCGAGATGTCACCACTGCACTCCAGCCTGGAGACAGGAGGAGATTGCCTGAAAAACAAACCATACCTGCCACTCCCCATCCTAGACCAATCTAATTGCGAGTGTCTCACAGGGAGCTGAAGTATCAGTATTTTTTTTTTTTAACAGCTTGATGGAAGTATAATCAACATACCACAAAATCTACTTATTTTAATATATGATTTTAGTAGATATACAAAATTGTACAACCCTTACCACATCACACAAACTTCAGAATGTTTCTATCACCCAGAAAGGAATTTCATGTCTATTCAGTCAATCCCTGTTTCTACTCCCAGCCCTGGGTGGCCATTAATCCGAGTATCTCTAGTTGCCTTTTCTAGACCTAAACATCAGGCTTTTGTTTGTAAGCTCTCAGCAGATTTTTAATATGTAGCTAGAGTTGAGACCCATAGTTCTAAATGCATTATGAGAAATCATAATGATTTTTAAGAATTATGTATATTTTACATATTTTCATATTTATGGCTCCCATCCATACAGTGTATGGATCTATCACCAGTAAGACAAAGATCATTAATTTGATAATGGAACTTAATAGACCATTCTGTTATTTTCCTTTTATACATTTTAGTATCATATTCAAAATGGCCTACCATTCTCTCCCCAAGTTATTTTAAAATATCTCCAGTCTGCTTTTTTCCCCCCTTTAGCTGGGAGATACCTCAGGAACATTCTCCCCAAGATGATGTCTTCAGTAATGCTTGCATGTATTGGTGTTGATTCCATCCTGGAAGTTATTTTCCTTACTCTTTCACATTGGTGTTTCCTCACTAGAGGTTTTGCTGTCTGATTCACTTCTCTGCCAAACAAATGTACTTTTGCTTCATAGGTACACAAACATTTCTAAAACTGTTTTTGGAAAATATATTTCTTTAAAAAAAACAAATAGTGCATGCACATTTGTTTTTATTAGAAAAAGAAATAATGAAAAAATAATCTACCCCAAAATGACCAGTTAAGATTTACTTTCAGGCAACTCTGCATATTTACGTATGCATATATACAACTGTGTACACCTCTGCGTAAATGAGATCACACTCCATGTACTCTTTGTAACTTGCTTCTTTCACTTAATAATGAGAACATTTGTACATGACCATAGATATAGATTTGTATTGTTTTTAATGGCTGTATAGTTTTGCATTATACTGAATCTTGATGTTTAAGAGCTATGTATATTGAGGACATTATTTCTTTGTCTTGTGTTGCAAATTTTTGACCACATTGTTATTAGTCTTTTAACCTTATTTATAGGTTTTTTTAATTATAAAAGTTAAGTTTTATGATGTAAACTTGATATCTTTATTTTATAATTCCTGGTTTTCCTGATGTGCTTAGAATGACCTTCCCCATTACAAGATAATAAAAATACCTCTATGATTTTGCTTAAAACTTTCATAGTTTTATTCTTTATGTTATTAACTTTGTTACATTTTGAATTGATCGGTGTGAGGAATGCCAAGTTTCTTTATTGCTCTGTTAGCTACATTTCTTAAGTTTCTTAAATGCTTTGAATTTCTATGCATATGTACATATAGTCATTCCAAAACCTCTAATAGCAAACACAACTTTACAAATGTGTGTATTTACTGTATTTGTTATCTACTGCTGCATAACAGTATTACCACAGACTTAGCAGCTTAAAGCAACACAATTTATTGTCTCACAATTGCTATGTCAGGAGTCAGGGCACAACTTTGCTGGGACCCTGCTTCAGGGTCTCACAAGGCTGTAATCATGGTGGTGTTGAAGGCTGTGTCATATCTGAAGTTTGAGGAAGAATCTACTTATGAGCTCGTGCCTTTAGCTTT